AGAGAATTTGGCCTTTATTCCTCTCCAGAGTGGAGGAGTTGCAGTGTTTTGGTTAGATAGCAACCTCAAAAACAAAGTCTTCTAGGACAGCAGATGGCAATTTACAGAAAATCAACACAGGTACCCATGAACCAAATCCAATTTATTATAGCTTCATAGCTGTTCTTTAGATTGTCTTGCATCTGGGTTTGGGGTCTTTTTTGATAGCTCTTCTGTATATCCCCACCTTTGCAGGATTCTTTTGATAGAGTTAGGCAAGGAAGAGCATCATACTGTTTTTGTTTTAAATATGCTCATAAGTGAGCCAAGGTAACGCTGAAGGCATTCACTGGTCTCTTGATGTGATTAAAATGAGGACCCTTCCACATCAGTCCTTGTCAAAAATGAACTTTGGGGTCTCCCAAAGTCTGTGACTCTTGAAGAATTTGCCTGCTGGCTCATGCCAGACCCAGGAATTTTTGGAGGTCCACTAGACCTAGAGGCAGGAGTTGGAATCTCCAAGCCTGTCCAAAGCTGTGTGTTCAGGTATGGTTGTGGTTTTCCTTCAGCCCACACAGCTAGGTTTTCAGTTTTATGAAAAAGGAGGTGGGGTGCATCTGTCTTTCTGGAGTTTTCCAAAGAAATTCAGGATACTTTGGCATGGTTTGCCAACTCCAAGGTGTGCACACAGGAGTCTTGACCTTGGTACATTTGGATTTCCAAGAGAATTCCAGGGAAAGGTGTTTTTGTGTGTCCTGCCTTGGTGCAGACCTGCCAGTCAGACCAGGCACAGAACTTCCATGGTCTTGGCAACGGGGCCAACATGGAACAAAATATTTTGGGACCAGTGAACAATGTAATAAACGTCAGAGTTTAATATCTAGATTTCTCTGGCTAATTCTAGTGCATAGCTCTAGATAAGAATAAGGATTGAAATTACATCCCCCTTTCAAATTAATGGTCTAAAGACTGGTTTTAGTCACATTTCTGTAGGATAGAGAAAATACTGTAATAAACTGATGTAGCTGGAATGTAATAAGGTAACCACAAGACAGGTAGGATGGGAATTTCAGAAATGGAAGAGAATTTATTTCATTATTATAGGAAAGTTGTGTTTTGGATGCCTTTCTGCAGCACAGGTTTCTTTTTTAGGCATTCATTGATCTGGATGGGAAAATGTGTGGTATTATCATTAGAAGAATGATTAAAGGAGGAAGAACCTTCTGTGGGAAAACAGTGTACCCATCCACTGCTGTTCTCTGCTGATTATGCTGATGTTTGGATCAGCATAAAGCTTTGTATTTCAGGCACTGGGAGAGGACTAGGAGTGTCTGTGAGAGCAAAGTTTCAAATAATGATGGTGGTGTGTGTCCCAGCTGTGCAGTGGAGGCTGATTCTGACCAAATATGGTATTAGAACTACATTGCTAATAAACATTTGCCAAATTAGTGATGTTTAAAACAGAAACTAGCAGTGAAAATGTTATTTCAACTGCTGTACTTTTTTAAAGCCAAAGTCCAAGTTTTAGGCAATTATGGGTTCTGTAAAACTTAAAGATGACAGTGAGAGTGAACTAAAGTGCTTCTTAAGGTTAACCTCTAATATCAAAGCCAGCCTCTGCTTCAGGCCATGAAAGCTTTGATCATCATGAAAACAATTCTAATAATGTCTAGATAAAAATCTGACTATACTCTGAGGTAAATTACAAGGCGACTTTTTAATACTAAATTCTGATTGTGTTCACATTACACCCTTTTCTGCTTCAGACTGTTATAAGAGGTGAAAATGAGCATTAACAATGTTTGTGAATGGTAGTATATAATTTGTTATCTGACCCTCTAGTATTTCCACAGTCAACAAATACTTGAGAATGAAAATGAGCGTGCATGGAGGTAGTCACTTAAAATATTAATGCATAAAGGCACTAAAAATGATTCTGAATATCATAACACATCACTTCTGTAGACTGAAAGAAATGCACAAGCTTGTTTTTTGTTGGTTTTTTTAAACCAAGTTGCCTGTGTTGTGATTAATACATATTGCTCCAAGTCTAACAATGGATGAAGTTTGAATGCTGAAATATGCCTTGTTGACGTCTTGTGCAATGTGGTAGTTTCAAAGCAGTGATTTTGTAACTATACCAAAAGGTTAAACTAAAATGTGTGACAGTCATCATTTGCTGATGGCTTTCTATACCACTTCCAAACCATACTTCAAATTATAGTATCATAGATTCTGTGTTCCCCATCCCAGATTTAGCAGGCAAAGAGGATTGCTGTACATTCTAACTGGATAAAACTTTGATTTTGTTGTAAGAAGTTGTAGTGAGATGTTCAGAAAAATATTATAAGTCTTGCTGACTCTGATCCCTTGCATTCCTCTCAGCATTTCGCAGTAGTTAGAACAAATTCTGAGTTCATTTAAGCAAGAGACTTAAGAACGGGAGGTGCTTCAGTGAACATCAGAGCTGCAATGCTGTCAAACCACAAGTGCCCTCCCAAGCAAGCCTTTACTCTTGCTTTCCTGCAGCTATGTGCCAGCTAAATCAAACATGCCACATGTTTACAAAAATAGCTAAAGCCCTTAGTTCTTGATTTTCTAACTCCCTTCTTGTACAGCTCTGGAATCTTGTTTGTGTCTTGGACTAATCATAAATGTCTTTCCCTTGCCTTTGCATAACAGGGACATAAGCACACTTTACTGAGAGGAAACTGTTTTCTTTACATTTCACACAATATTGGCAGTGCCAATTTTGATAGATTCTTTTGTTTGTTTGTTTGTTTGTTAATGCCTTATCCTGTGGTTACACTCAAAAGATTTGAAATATTAGAGAAGACATGGCTTAGTTTCAAATCATTCAAACACATTGTCTTTTTACTTAGAAGCTTAGTTCACATGGCAAATCAGATCTGTTTTTTAGTCTACTTACACTCTCTAGCACTGGATAGAGGGAGAATTGCATGTTTTTCTTAATGTAGCCAGGTTTTAACTACTTACTACTAGTTTGTTTCGTGTGTACTAAGAATACAGTGTTGGATCATGTTCAGCTTGGCATCCACGGTAACTCCTGCATCTTTCCCAGCAGAGCTGCTGCTCACCCAGTCAGTTCCTGGTCTCTGCTGACACACCACTTCTTCCACTCCACATTTCAAAACATTTTAAAGCTCTGTGCCATATAAGACCTGTATTCTATTTATGCTAATTAAGCCACCAGTTTATTCCATTATCAGTTCCAATAGCTTTTGCGAAGCATCTTTTTCTTGTCTCTTTAGAGATTTTGGGGGAAGGTGGGGCTGCTCCTTGGACTTTGGCCAGAAGTTTTATTGTGGTATGCAATTGGTATAGTCCTGAGCAAAGAGAAGAATTTGACTCAAAAACTGCATTAACCTTTGAGTGACACTTCTAAGCCTTACCACTGAAAAGAATCGTGTAGTTACTGCATATTTTTTATGCCTGAAGTCATAATAAGCTGGCCAAAAAATTAGCCCAGGAAAATTCAGTATTAAAACAACATGGGGCTATTAGTACATTCTCATTCTAAAATAAATTATTGAAGCTGCATTTTTCTTCATTTACTGACATTAAAGTGCTTCCATCTGCAGTGACAATCTTATGTTACTCTTGCTGATGTGTACTAATATGAAGACTTATATAAACGCTGTTTTTTTCCTTATGAGAGCAAAAGAACCCACACATACTTCTCTGTAACATGTTTGTCTCAGTTCATTTCTTTACCATATTTTGAACCATGGCCAGCTGGAAGTTCATGAGAGAAAGCTCATTATTTAGTTGTATTTTTTTTAGAATCTAAATGGAGGTCTCTGGGAGCTTGCTGTCATCCTTGATATAACCACAGGGAAGATTTCTTTGGCTTTGAACTGTTAATGATGGAGTGCTGATGAGAGCACAGATTAATGTGCAAGAATACTTCCTAATTTGCTCACCATGTGCAGCATACCTGTATATCTAAGAAGGGGAAGAGATGAAGAGAAATTATTAATATAACTGCTCATATGCACTGTCTCTATATTGTCAGTAATGATATCACTGCAGGATTATGATCTATCTTTTTTTATCTATTTTAAGAGGCATTTGATGGGCAATTTTTAGTCATTAAGTTTGGGGAAATTGCTAAAAGGCTAATAAATAAATATTAATTGGGTTACATAACTAATTTTAAAATTTACAATAGCTTGTGGATATATCTTCTTGGCTCAAATATATTAAAAAATGCAAGATTAAATAGCAGGAAGCCTTATACAGGGGTTTGTGACATGCATGGAGATAGGTAATAAAATATGGCCTTACTCTTCTGCTCAGTGCTGCTTCTTCTGCAGCTCTGCTTGATTCTTGCTATTTGTCTGTCCTGTTTGTACAAATGAATGAGAAGGAAAGGGGCAGAACAGAGAGGGAATGAAGAAAGCTGTGGCTCACTCCCAGCTGTTCACAGGGAGGGACATTGTCTGGGCACAGAGAACCTGAAGTATTTTGTGGTCAGAATGAGGAGGTGAAGTACCATGGTACTGCAAGTCTCTGACTTGAAAGGAGATGCAACACATCACAGCACTACCATCTCCATTTGTCACTGCTTTGTCATGCACCATTTCTGCCCATCTATTCACATGCTGCAGTAGAAAACTACCTCAAAACACATGACTGGAATGAACTGTCCCTTTTTAAATTTAGGAACACTCAGATCTCTCCTCCTGCCTTCAGACTTGCCTGGATATTAGTTTGATGTGTTACATTACAGACCAGGTTGCATATTAACAGTTCTTAACCTTGTAAATCCCTTGTTTGACAACTTCTGCTTCATTTGCATCTCATCTGCTGTATGGTGCCTTGCTACAGGAATTTATGCTGATGAAAGTTACCTGTGACAAAAAGTACTTCTGCATAACTGTTGCATCACAGCTGGAGAGCTGTGAGCAGTACAGGGGAAAATACTACCCAAAATAAACTTGTGTTATTATAATTGCATACTGCTAAATAAGTAATCCTCTCATATTGTATTTTTGAAGGGTGAACCAGGTTTCATTGGTCCACAGGGAGAACCTGGGTTGCCAGGGCTACCAGGAACAAAGGTAAGGGGAATGGGCCAGTGCTCTGGTGTGAAGTCCCTTGACCTGATTTCAAATTCAACTTTCCTCAACAAGTAGCAGAGACTGAGGCTACTATTGGAGAAATGTGAAAAGTCATGGACCAGTGCTATGAAACAGATATATGGATATTCATATTGGTGCCCTTAAAAAAATGTTAAGTCATGACTTTATTTAATAAGTCATCTTTTTTCATGTGACAGTCCCCAAAATTAGTTGTTCAAGAGGCAGAATAGCATGATTGAAGAAACTGTATTTTCATAAATGTGGGTTTTTAGGAAAATGGTTTGAAAGTGTATGCAAGAAGTAGAACTTCAATAGTACACACCAGATTCTGAAAATACAGATAGACTAAACCACTGTTTCTTCTGTTGGCTTGGTTTCTTTGATCCTGCTGAGTTGGTGGTGTGCTAAAGGCTGCCCAGTATTTTGTGATATATGTATGTCTGTTGCAATAGGGTGACAGAGGAGAGGCAGGCCCTGTTGGGAAGGGTGAGAGAGGTGAACCTGGAATCCCTGGACCAAAGGTCAGTCTGATTTTTATATTGGAAATGTTTTGTTAGTTTTACACTTGTGAACACATCTTTGCCTGCTGAAAAGTAGAACAAAACTTGGTGAGTGAACTTTTAAATGAAAATGCTGTCAAATACTCTACTTCAGTCCAGAAGACAATGGCAGTTTTGTGTTCACAGCTGTGGAACTGCTGTCTGAATGGACTCTTATTTGGTCTACAAAGTAAAGACACTACCTACATACAGTGTCATGGAATTGGCCTAATTCATTTCAGCTGAAGTACTGACCTCTAGGTCCCTAACTTTCAGCATCGAAGTTTGAACTCTTTGACCACTGTAGCAATTGAATGCAGAGAAAATCCATTTTGCATGCTGTTTTCTAACTCTCTAAGAAAGAGGTCAGTCTAACTACATTTTAGCATTGTCTTAATATTTCCCCTGGTGTTTATACTGTCAAGTTTTTCTTTCCTAATGCATTTTGAAAACAGTAAGGTTAGTTTTGTGCTTCTTGGCCAGTTAGTTTGTATTCACCTGAACGGTTGCGAAAAGAAGTTGTGGTAACACTTTATTTTAATCTCCTTATGTTAGAATATTTAATTATCTTCTCTATCTCTTGGCTATCATTTCTCAGGAGCAATGGAATGACATAGCTCATTTCTGAAAACCAGTGATAATGATGCCTATCTTTACTAATGCCAATACTGCTTTTCCTTAGGAAGGGTGGAATCTGTGGCCATAGCACTCTGGTGTTAAAGACTATATTAATCTGGGTGCTATTAAATTAAATGCCTTTAAAATTCATTATCTTGGTAAAATCAATATAAAGTATTTCTGCTGTTCCAAACTGTAGTTAGTCATTACTAATATCTTTTTCTCTGCATTCCAATCTCTCTATTATTTTTCTCCTGTCTTCCTTCAAACAGGGGAAAACAGGTGAACCTGGATCTAGAGGCCCTAAAGGGTCAAAGGTTAGTAGTAAAGAAACTGTCTTTAGTGGACTAATTAGCATGATTTTTAGGATCAATGATTTGTAACATTTCTCTTTAAAAGAACCTGTAATAATCTGCAGTTTTCTTTGTAAGTGAAACCTTCTGACCTTCAATTTTAGCTAAAAATTTTAGTCAAGTCACTTGGGTTTTGAACACTGTGATTCTTTTTCTGTTACAACATCCATTCCACTCTGCTGTTGTTTTCCTCATGCAACTTGGTTTCTCTCTGTGTAACTGATGAGTGTTAGTCCTCCCATATGACAGGACCCAATGCCTGACTGTGCTGAGTTTGCAATAATTTTAGGGACCCACACTTTGATGAGCTGGGAATCAGAGGTATTCCAAGTACTGCAGGCTGACATATGATGGTCAGAAGCCCTACAAAGGCATGAGTTGTTGGTTGTGTTACTGTTTTACCTGCTTTAAAAAGACTACTTTGATTTTATCTATCTACCCATTTATCTTTTTGTAGATACAGTTGGTTCACATATATGGAAAGATAAAATGTATGTTTTTCCATTACTTTATCTGCTGTGCAAATATTGTTCCTACTGGACTCATTCAACACTCTTCATGTTATATGATGGAGTCAGAGCAAAATGAAAATGCATTTGTGTAGGTGGTTATTGACAGGCCTGCTGTGAGAATAAGGATTACAAGACAATGTAGGCTGGTGTGATACTGTTTACAGTACTTGCAAGGTCCTTGAAGGGTGGCCTTAAGTGCTTAGAAGTGTAATTTAAAAAGCGCCATTTAACCTCATTCATTCCCTCCAGAAAGAAGTGTTGGAAGGCAGAGGAGCTGATGAGGGAATTAAAGTGTCAGAATGAGAGTAGAAGAGTAAATCAGCCTCTCATTTTACTACAGTACCAGAGTACCTCCCACATGCACCGAAATTATAAAGATATCCCCTTTAATTCCCTTTTTATCAAAAAAAGGGTATAAAATTTTCATTTTACCTGCATACTGTCATGAAAATTTGGCCCACAGAAGTCAATCTAATGGTGAGCAACTTCATTTTTTAACAGTTCCAATGTTCACTAGCTGCTGCCAAGGCAGCACTGAAAGGAAAGGCAGATGGTACAACCTTGATTATGCCCTGCTCTCCATATGCCTTCATTATCTCTATGAAAATTTTCTGGTTTCTATGTGTTCTGGTACCACCAGTGAATTAATCATTCTTCCCTACTTTTACCAAAGTTCTCTAGATTTCAACAGGAGCAAAATTTGCAGTTCTTACCCTTACTAATTTTGAGTAATATTAAAATATAAGACCTTGCTATGAAAATGACTGCGAAATGAATTGTGGATGATGGCATATGAATGCATACATGTGTGAAATTCCCTCCATCTTTTGAAACATATTACTAATAGCCAGGAAGAAAAATCTGTGTGTGAGCTGGTAATGATCTTTCTTACACCTGTCACGGAACGGGCATCAAGAAACCCAAAATCTGATAGTACAGTTCTGTTTGTAGGGGACGCAGTGACTCCCAGGGAGGTTCAGGAGGTTGGTGGCAGCATGATCACAGAAAGAAAAGTTTATACATTTTGAAACACACATTTGAAGGAGTTTTTGACTGTTTTCAGACTGAGTAATTTCATTTCTCTTGTATTCTCTTCAAGTTTTCATAGTAGTGTCATTAAGAATAGGGATGTTACACAAATTTCTTAACTGGTAATCTGCCCATTTTTTGGTTCTTTGCGATTTTTTATTGCAAACCAATGCAATACTCTAATATTCACACAGAACCAAATGTATCATTGTTGATTCTACCAGTACACAGATTCTGAAGGACTTTTTCCTTTCATTAAATAAGATTCACATTCTGTTTAGGATGAGAGGCCCTGTAAACCAGTTCATATAAGAAAACATATGTAAATGTGAAGAACTATGTGATATATTGTCAAATGGCATACCTGGTTTCTTCATGTATTATTTTTACATAGGGTGATACAGGTGAGAGAGGTGACACAGGGTCTGCAGGTCCACGGGTAAGTCTGCTTCTCAGCTCTTTGTTTTGTTCCCTTAGATTCAGTCCATGTGAACTGAAATTGTAGCAGTAATTCTAGTTAAGACTCCAAGTGGAATTGGGCACTTGGTACTGTTGGAACGTGGTTGCTAACTGGACTTCAATATGACTAACACCACTTGCCACTATTTGAAGCAGTCTCCTATCCACAGTTTGTGGGCAGGATGTTACAAGCCAGGTGTTCTGACATTGTTCACTGCCAATACAGAACTAGAGTGTAGGAACTGCTTAAATGTCTTCCCTCAGAGGTTTCATATATTGCTCTCCCACTGCAGCAAAAGTCACTTTATACTGACTTGCTTATTTATCTTTATTAAAAAAAAAATCCTTTAAATTCTGTATTTTGTAGTACTATATTGCAAGTACAGTAAGTCCAACACTCCACAATCAAGTCAAAGCATGTATCAGTTGTTAAGACTCTAAAATAGTCTTTGGCAGTTGTCTCAAAATTCTAATGGAAAATATATTACAGGGACCACCTGGACAGAAGGGCGACCAAGGTGCAACAGAGATAATTGATTATAATGGCAATATCCACGAAGCTCTGCAGGTATGTAAACGTAACAAGGCTGAATTGTTTTAGTCTGGTCTGGGAAAAAGTCATTTGACAGCATTGTATTTCTCTTTTGCCTAAAACTTGAAAACATTTTGTGTGCAAAATTGTTGAGCTTATTAATCAGGAATCACTTTCTTTATTTGGAAAACAGGTTTTCTGTGCTGGAAAAACTGTTTCTCTGATACAAATTAGCTGAGTGAATTAGTTTCATGTTCCCTAGAGAGTACTGACATCACCTAATGGGGAAAAACTAATTCATTGCTGGCTTTGGTGTTTAGTGCTGAATTAATGTAATAAACCACATACACAGGTTCAACAGATGTGTCTGCTTTTCAATTCACGTATTATAATACTGACATTTCTTTTTTCCCCTTGTTTTCCTCCTCCTCTCCCTGTAAAATGCAAAGAGCAGAATATTTGAGATTTGGAAACCATGTAACATGGTTCCATTAGCAAGCTGTGGATTCAATCAGCAACTTGAGTACATTAAGTAGACCAAGCACTAGTCTTCTCACTTACTCATTTCTGGAAAACCTATTTTGATTGGTGTGCAGAAAAGTGTGGAGGATTAAAGTGGGGTTACAAAAAGAATGAATGAGTGTTTGCATAAAAGCAAAGGACCAAGATGACATATGTCATTGCAGTCAAGGTGATTTACATTGCAGCATACTCAGATGCAAATTCTGTTCAGTATAACTCCACCAAAGTGAATGGCTTGCTTATGTGAAACTGAAGACTGGATTTGGCTCATTGTGCATCTCATCACTTTCTCACTGAAGCCGGTGAACTTTTTTCTTACATTTACACAGTGGGAGTGGGTAAATGTCTGACCAGTCATTTGGTTTCCAAGACTCTTTCAAAAAATAAAAAAATCTCACTGCCTTTACTAAAATCTAAAAGCCTTGTATGACACTAAGGCTGAGTCTGCTCTTTCATTGTGTCTATGGGGAGGTCTGCATGGGCGTGTTGTGAGGCTCTGCATTATGTTTGCCTCATCTGGTTTGCTTGTAAGGGAATTCAGACACACAGCTTTCAGTCATCTGTATCCCTCTCCGAGTTACATGCCTAAAGTAGGCTGAAATTAATGTTGTGTATTACCAGACAGAGACTTACCAGGGGCTTTAGCCCCTGTATCTCCTATATTGTGTCTTTGTATTGTAACTCTGGCACCAGTGTTACTTTCAAGCTGCATCAGAAAAGCTGCAGCACATAAAGAAGCCTTAAAAGTGGACTAAAGCTTTCTGCAGTGGTTGAAACATTCTAGAAAGGCTTTATCCCATTGCAAATCTTTCCAAATGTCATTACCTTCTGATCCAGGGCAACAAATGATTGGTATTAATGGGAATGGCTGTGCAAGGAGGTTGTGAGTAAGATTATATAGGATCAGTCAAAAATATCCTTGCCAAATCCAGCTCAGTCCTTTCAGATGGCAAACACCCATTCCTAAGTCTCCTGGTGCCAGATTCTTAGGGCTCTGAGATTTGCAGTTCTCTCACAAAAGTACATGAGAACTTCAGTGCTCAGCATTGAACTGTGAACTTGCACAGAATTTATCCTGCATTTTTAAGAAGTTGACAAGAGTTTGCAAGATCTGGGCTGCTTGTCTCATGTTAGAATTTAGTAATAAATCATGAAGCAGACTAGCAATTTAGTTACTTTGCCTTGTGCCTCCTATTAAATCTCATGTGCAATCTTAAAATTGTCATTATGGTTTGAGCAAGACCCCTGCTGAGAGAATGTGGCTTTCACTTGGAGGTTCAAATACAGAATCCATCTCTCAGTCAAAATTGCCCTTCACACCTATTCTGCAGAATTTCCCAAGGCAAAAAGCAGTAGTTTCAAAACTTTAACCTTTGCAGGAACTATAGCATTAGATATTAAAATACCTGCCACTGTAAAGGGATCCATTACTGTGAGCATGTAAACAGTACTTTGCAGTGGTTTTTTTAGGTTTTCATACCTACCTAAACTTTTCAATATTTTTTTAAAGTTCTTGATGTATTTCCATTAATATGTTGAAATACAAAGGATATGAGTATATTAAAGCCATGTGTTAGAGAACAGTTTTGTTCAAGTGTTTTGCATTGAGTAGGTTCCAGATCTTTGCCAACAGTACGTATTGTGTACGGAGGTTCCTTTACAGCTTAAAACAGAAGATCTGCAAACCTTTATGTGCACATTGGGTAACAATCAGAAAAGCAAAATATTTTTTGTTCCACATAGGCCAGTAAGTTCTTCACATGCAAAAGGAAAGCATGTGCGAGCTTCAATATTTGGGGGTTTTACTCTGTTTAAAAATATAGACAAGCATTTAAATTACATTTAAATATTCTTCCACTTGCTTTTAGATTGTTTGGGAAAAAAAAAAAAGGGACAAGTCAAGATATTTTGTCTCCTTCCATGATGAAAATATCCTTTGTCTTTCCAAGCATTCAAAGAAGAATTGTAGTATACATAGCTGGGTTGTGGACGGGCAGTTTTGGATTTAGAACTGCATTTTTATATGAAAACTAATGTTATAGCTCCACTCCAGGAGTAATTTATTAGTTAAACCTTGGTGCAAAAACCATACAAACCATTACAAACCATAGTGCTGGTCTTTTGGTTGACTTCAGACACCAACCCATTTTGTTTTCTTAAAAAATTTAAAGGCCACCTTTTTGAAGACTTCTGCTTCGATTTTGCTGTTTAGTCATTGTTTATTTGATCTCTTGCATTGTACAAAATTACTGTCTTCATCTAATTCCCAGAGTAACCAAGCAACTAATACAACACCAAGAGTTAAAAATAATAGGGGTTTTAGTCATGTTTTTGAAGTCATGGTGTCTCCCACATGCAGCATAGGTTCTGTGGAGATTATTACTGTAGCAAACAGAATTATTTTTATCGTTGTTTGATTCTGCTACTGACAACTCTTTTTAATGCATTTTGCCAACAGAGGATTGCCACCCTGACTGTCACGGTAATTCATTAGTATTGCATGACTTACTGTGTGCTGTAGAACTTCTCCTTTGTGCTGCAGCATGTTCATAATTCTGCTAGCTCAGGACATGCCTTCACTGGGTGTCAATCTGGTTCATCATAACGTGTATTGATTTCTTTGCTTGGTGTTTCCACAGTAGAGAGCCCATTGTTGAAGGCCAACAATGGAACAAATTCTGCTCCTTCTGAATTAATGGCAAAACTTCATTTAAGTATGAGACTGGGAAAAAACATTATTTTTTGTTTCAAGTTCTTCTCTGCAAGATTGCTGTTAGTCATATTTTCCCATCCGGACATACCCTTTCTTTATATTAATGCGGGGGATTTTTAAATGTTGTTGTGGGGTTCTTTTAAAGCATCCCCACTATGCACCATCCAGACCAGTGTTTGATACATGGCACTATGTCCACAGCCTGAGGTAGGAATGAAAGAAATGGTTACAGCTTATTCCATGGCAATTTCACAAAGCACTGGGTATCCCCAGATGCACTTAGCATCTTTTAGCAGAATCCTCTTTACAATTGGTTGGAGATTTCTCCTGGTCTCGGATTGTTTTGGATCAGGCAGTGAGAGCTGGCAAATGTGAATAGGTTTTGGTCTCCCTTCCATTAAGGGAAGCAGTGCCATTTTGTCAATAGGAGCAGAGAACTTTATTATAAAATATGAGTTGTACTGTTATTTTAACACTGTTTTTTGTGGTAGTGTTGTGATTGTTAAGATCTGTCATAGGTTAACAAATTGTCCATAACTGGTCTTGGTTCCCCTGTGTTAAAAATCTAACCCATTTTGTTACAGTAGCTGTATTAACATTCACCCTGCACTTACATGATAAGTTCTTCAGGAGTTTATTTAAAGTCTGAGAGGTTTGTATGTTTCTGTTTAGGGACCACCAGGACCACCAGGACCCCAAGGACTGCAAGGGTCAAAGGTGATCTTCCTTACTTTACTCATTGTATCTTAAGGGTGGAGTATTTTCTGGGTTTTCTTAAATGATGTACGTGTACAGGTAAATTGAGCTTTCCAGCACAGTTGTTTAACTGCAAACTTAACAAATATGGCATGTTTCCAACTTTATATCCCAGATTCTTGAGATGCAGCTTTCCAGAATAGATGCCTTGTTTAGTTGCCACACACAGATACTTAACTAAGGACCAGCAAAATTAATTAGTACTGAAAGAGTGCAGAAGCATCTCACTCAGGGATGGGTACTGAGGTTGCTCCCTAGAACTTTGCAAAGTAGTCATACAACCAGACAGTGGCTTCCATGCCTCACTTCTGGCTGAATGGGAACAAGGTAGGCAAAACTGTGTGCAAGACCACTGGCTACCATGTGAGTGCATGTGAATGCAGCTTTTATATCACGGGGGCACCCATCCAAATAAGTGCAGTATTGTCTAAGTCAGTAAAAATTACAACATACACATGTGGGCAGGAGCCTGGCTGGAAACCCAAGCCTGCCGATACCACCTGGCTGGTGCTTATAAGGAGTACAGAAGGGTTAGTGAGCAGCCCACACAGAGACAATGAATACCATATGCTGCACTGTTATATAAAATTTAAATAATAAATTTGCCTATACTTAAAAAAGAAGTGTTGAAGTTAGTGCACTCTCCCTAAATGCTTTTAAACTAGTTGAGATGTTTCTCCTTTTTCTTAAATGCTAGATACTGCATCTTCTCCCACTATCTCTACGCTATTCCAAGAGCAAATATGTGCATCTTCAATATCAATACTAGACATTTCAGTTTTAGACTTTACCTATTTCATATGGAAATATGTCAAAATACACATGTACATTGTTTTGAGAAATTGTAAGAAACAAGGCTCATTCTGTGTGAAAATTGATAATATACAGTTAAGTATGCAGAAGTTGCTTTTTGCATTATCATCTACCCAGCAATTCTGCAACATGGAGTATGTTGTAAAACAGAAGTTAGAGGGTGGAAGAGGTTGTGTTCCTTCATATATATGAACGTTCTCATTCAAATTTTACAATGTAAAGCAGAATTCATCTCACAGGAGCTTGTTTCTAATGTCATCGACTCCATCCATCACCATAACTTGCTCTCTTAGAGAATACTACCCAGGAATTGGTCATAAGACAATGTGGTGGGTGGGAACTCCTCCAATGGGTGATTTATGATAGGGGAAAAACATGAAGTTCCTCTCTACCTTGTGTAAATCGGGAGGCATGATTCTGTATTTATTCTGGTAGCAGGCAAAGTTTCCATTGGATTTGGGTCTTTTTACCCCTGGGATTTTGTCTTCTTTTTCCTTTCTTTTTATGCACTTGTCTGACCTTTATACAACCCAAAGTTTATGTAATGTCATAATGATCTGGGCTGTTTATTAATAAAAGTATTATATATATGCTGGATTTTTTTTGACAGAATATTCTCTAGCTTTATTGTTGTTAATTATGGGAATTTCTCTGGCTCTTTCCTCTAGTATCTGGGACAGTTGGGATAATCCAGTTCTGTCTTGTCTTTTGCAGGGTGAGCCAGGATCCCCAGGAACTCCAGGAGTTGATGGAGAGCAGGTACATTTTGTTTCAATCATGTAGTAAAGAACATGTGAGCAACCACGTTATTTCAAGAGATTATTTTCATGAGTCCGAGTTGTAACTTAGATTTCATAATTAAATAATATTATTATAATAATTAATAAAGATCATTATAGTGTTTCCACGTAGTCTGTGATCTAATAATGTCTGCATTTCTGCATTTTAATAGCAAAGGTATATGCAGCACATGACTTCTATTTATTAGGATCAAAGCTAGAATTCTGGTAGTGTCCCTACGTTTTTTTACATGACTTGCTGAATAATTCTATGTTTTAGGGTCCTAAGGGCTCAAAAGGAGACACAGGTGATCCTGGAATGCCTGGAGAAAAAGGGGGAATTGGACTGCCTGGCCTACCAGTGAGTATGAAAAGTTAATTATTAGTTTTAGCAAAAATACTTCTGTTTTTTCTCTCTTCCATTATCAGGAATTTCCAACAGTGTTGATAAATTGCAAATGGGACAGAAAGCACTGGGGAGAAAATTCCGAGATTGTTCTGAAGTTAATCTAGGAGGAGGTATAAGATTGTCAGAGCTTTTCATTCCACTTACAGTGAAAAAAAAATACTGTGTCGGGAAGAAAGAGGTTAGTTGGCAGGCTGACCAAAGTTGTACCACTCTTACAATATATAGCATAACATGGGCAAGGAGAAAGGAGCTATGTTTTGAATGGAAATTTCAGGTGACTTCGATTGAGGAGGGAGAAAAAAATACATAAATATTTATGTGATGCATTCTTCCTATTTTGTGTGTATGTATGTAGATAGATATAGATACAGATATAGATTAGATATAGACATAGATGTAGACATAGATGCATATGCATTAAATTTCTCAGCAAAAACAGAAACAATTTCAAATATATTATGAATGGAGTTCTAGTTTAAGGAATTGTCATAAATATCATGCCACAATTGATAGCTATCAATATAAAAGCATATGTTAGTTGAAAATTATTTTTAAAGTAGTGCTTGAATTTTAAAGAAATATTTCCTTTATGTATGTGCTGTGTTATTCTTTTTTAAAATGATAATTATGTTCCAATAAATATTAACATTTCTAGATTAGTTGCTAGTAAGATTAAAGCTATTTATAAATGCTGTTTTGTAATGATTTTTAGGGAGCCAATGGTGTGAAAGGCGAAAAAGGAGATGTTGGTTTGCCTGGTGCCCAAGGTCCTTCAGTAAGTCTCAATGTGGCATTGCAATGAACACAGGAGTCCAGCAGTGGTTCTCCACCTTCTGGTTCTGAGCACTAGTTGATATTCATGACTCATCTTTCCTGAGAATGAGCAGACTTATGGTCATAGAGCTAAATACAATTTAAGAAATCTTAAAGATGTAATTCCTGTTCTGTTCTATGACTATGCACAAGTCCTGCTCGCTTCAGTCAAAGCCTTCTGGCTCTGTAATGAATCAAAAGATAAATGGGGAAGAAAGAAAAAAACTCAAATAAACTATAATCTCTCTTAACACCTTATTCTCTGGGAATCTCAGATAGTCTAGTGAGAACCAGACTAGACTGACTGCAAATATGTGACCCCCAGGGTAGTGAGCTACTTGTACAAGACCAGACATTCTCCTGGATTTTTTTCAAAGCATTGTAAAGGCGTTAAAACAAACAAACGAACAAAACCAAATAAACCCAAAAGATCCAAACAAACTCCTACATAGTACCTTTATGGTGTGGGTGACTTTCATTATCAGAGCACAGTAAGATGAGAGACCTTAGGGCAGAGGTTAGTGACAGAAGCCATAGTTCTGAGAAGTCAAAGAGGCTGCCATCACAGGACACAAGAAGCACCCCAAATCTCTGTGTTTATTTCTATGAGAAGATTATTTTTTTAGAAATTAATTCACTAATTTATTCATCCTGTTCTGCTTATTTTCACTTGAAGGAAGAATTTCAGTTTTCAGGGGATTTCAAAGGTGATGGAATCTTTCTTACATTTCAAAGTGCTTCTTGGTGCTGCTCTTGGTGCCACTGACAGCCACTACAGCAGTGCATGAGTCTGGAGACCTGTGTAAGCACCCCTGCTGCCACTCTACAGGCTATGGCAGCACTCTGTTGGGGTTAGATCCAGGAAGAGAAGTGATATTAAGCTGGATATATCATCATGACATTTTTTCCATGGATTGGTTAGGAACATGGAAAACCAGTGCAGAATATGTGTGCACTAAATGCCAAGCAACCTGATTACCTATTTTAATAACCTCGGAGAATTTTTGGTACAAGTGGGCTAAAAGAAATAAAAGGAGAGACAAGGGGCAATTTTGCAATTGTGCCAAAGCCCAGCTTGAATTTAGTATCTTTTTCATTTGTCAGTGTTGAGGAGGAATAAAATAACACCTTCTGGCTCTGTAGATTAAGTAATACAAGAGAGAACTAAAGAGCACATACCATAAAATATTAAAAATTCAAACATCCCTTCTCAGTACTGCTTGTTTTACAGGGATTTATTGTTTTCCCCTATGGTGTCTTAAAGTGTATCATAGAGCCTAGGAGTAAGAATCTGGAGACAGGCACATTGCCATATGGCACAGGCAGATCTGCACTTTGGGTGCCCAGTCTTTCAAATCAAAATAATTCCCATTCCTAAAGCTCTGTCTAGATGCGCTGTTAATGTTCGCTGTTGCATAGCTATTTTTGTAAGTGCTTGCCAACGAGGGTCAGCCTGACTTCTGGTATTTTTGTGGGAATTCTTTGCTCTGCATGATTTAATACCATTGTTTTTCATCTGTAGATGATAGGACCACCTGGACCACCGGGGCCACATGGTCCTCCAGGCCCTATGGTAAGCTTGGGAGGAACAGAGGGGCTAGAAGTGATCTAAGCCCTCTTGCCACTTTATTGCCTGCTAACTAAAAGTGTTATCAGAATATGTGGTCTTTAAAGAAGGAGTCTAATTTGGAAATCTTTTTGCCTGTCGTAAAATTCATAGGAGGTGGAGAAACAAATTGCACGTTCCTGGTATTGTTAACATGCTGGTTCCTCCTCAGAATCAGGTGTTTACTGTTGCTTTATTGACAACTGCATTTCTTTTGAGAGTAAAGAAATACGGGGTAATTTGTATCCCTACAAATCAAAAACTCAAAAAAAAAATTTGGTGTGTTTTCATAATGAAAAATGTTACTTTTATTTTCAGGGACCTCATGGACTACCTGGCCCAAAGGTAAATTAATACCTGTCTTGAATAGACAAGCTCTTTATGTCTTGCAAAGTGTTATGCTTTGCTCTTGAATGCATGCAGCAATGTTTTGTCATGCCTCATTTAATAAATGTTTCTGATATTCTTAAACCTTAAAGCAGATTTTAATATTAGCAGCTTAAAAGCTTTTAAAATTTTCTGTGATTGTTTCTGAGTAGTATTTCTCCTCAGCATCAGCTGAGTCCATTTTTTATATGATTATTTGAGATATGGCACTAAATTATTTAGCTTCCTGTTTATGGGCAAGTTACCATTATACTTGGAATTACTTTGGAATACAGAAGCATGTTACAGGCTCTGGAAGTGAAGTCAGATAAATTCATCTTCATTTTTGCTGTCTTGTATCTCCTGCCTCTTCCAGTCTCCGTGGCCTTTGTTAGGTGACAGGTATTTTGCTGAGCTGTTCCTTCACAGGTTATGCTGGTTCACCATCACGAACTGATGTGTGTATTTTCATGTTGTCCATACTGGATTCATGATCAGACAAGTCTTCAATACAATTTCATTCATTTTCCCTAGCAGAGATATTCTTTAGGGACTCTCTTGTCCCATGAGAGTAGCCCAGGAGAGTGGCAGTGAATTTTGGCAGAGTTGGAATATTTTAATTTGTGCTTTAATTCAGTAGTCACCAGTAAGCTAAAATTCAGCATAACACTGTATTCATTAAGGCCAGTGGTCTTGTCAGGCATGATCATATAAGTCACTATGGCTCCTAAAATATATCTAATCACACCTTTCTCAAAAAGTAAGGAGGAGGAGGAAAGGGTGTTTGTGTTTAGTTTCAGGGGTTTATTTTGGATTTTTAAATGTGCAAGACAGAAAATCACAGATTTGACCCCTTATGAGACTGTGTTACCTTGGCTCAAGAAACCTAAGTCATAAATCATTTTTTGAAATCAAGTATGCTCCATTTTAACACCAGCCCTGCTTTACCTCAGGCTTTTGGCCTGAGACTCAAGCTTTTGTGGGATTTCTCAGGTCTGTTTCCAGAACTTCAGCATTTTCAGTTGTACTTCTCTGAAAGTCACATTGAGTCAAATAGAAAAAGAATGAAGAAATGGCTACTTAGGGTGCAAAGCAAGCAGATAATGTCTGGAGTTACTTAAAGGAGCAGCCTGGGTTCTACTGAGATTTTTTTTTCCATAAATATGAATATAATATAAGGTAACATAATACATCAAAGGGAAATATCTAGCAGTGAGACTGTGGGGAGCAGCCTGGATGAAACACCCATGTATTTCTCTTTCCTGGAAGAGACAAGTGTGGTCAATACTCTCTTTGACTGAGCAGTCCTCATGCTGGTGCAGTTTTTCATTATGAGAGAACTGTGCAACTCTGAGCCCAGTATTGTCATCTTAGTGAAGTTTAGTGTAATAGCCTATGCATTATTTAATAATCACAACAAGTGCCATTTCTTACATTGTTAAAATTTCTCTGTATGAGCACAGAAACTGTGGACCTCCCAAATAGCTTGGCGTTGTGTAACCTATACTGTTTCTTTTAACTTGTTACTGTTTATTATGTATGCTTAAAGGTTTAAAATATCTTTATGTAAGACTTTGCTGCAAATTCCAGTTTACTGTAAGGAAAAGTATTGCTTCCTTACCAAATGTACTTTTCAGGAGATCACACTCTAGAAACCTACAGTTTTGAGGCTTACTTTTATGAACATTTTCTTTCAGTTTGAATTATCTGCATAGGATGGTTTATGGGATTTGAAAATTTTCCAAAACCCCCTGAAACTCATGCTTAATTCAAACCATCTAACTATAGTGATAATTATTAGAAAAAGATTCTAAAAATCTGTTACTCATAAGATTCCTGTCGGTTTTTTTTACACAGATTTTAAATCTCAAGCAGACACCTCCCAAGTCCTTTTGCCCACTATTAAATCAGTATGTAAATTGCCAGTAAGCTGAGAAGGTTGAATTTGTTTCAAACTGGAATTTGCAGCTACTTTTGAGACTGGCTTCTTCTATCCCAGCTTAAACACCCATTATAGCACCAAAAATTTGGCATTTATACTTTTACGTTTAGGGTGAACCAGGGTTAAATGGTCTTAAAGGATTGAAGGGTGAACCAGGTCAAAAGGGTGACAGAGGGCCCCTTGGTCTTCCAGTAAGTAAAAAACCCCAACTATTCAATTTAAGTGCAAATCACAAACATCTCTTTCTACTCCTTGTGAACGGCTCTGATTTACTCAATAGCATACCCAGAATATACCATGTTGGAGGAGAGCATCAGTTTTGTTTTGTTTTGTTTTGTCCCAGATCTGTGCTATCATCCCAAGTAACGTCCTGTAACACCCAATGCTGTCAGGGTTTTGGGTTTTTATGTTGTGTGTCGTTGAGAATGTGTCACAAGGATGTCATCACCCCCAATACATTAGTCATGCTGTTATTCAAGTGTTGTATGGTGTTTCCATTAAAAAAGGAGTCTTCCTTTTCCCCCATCTCCTCTTATTGCGCTTCTGCAGTTCAAATGGAGAGGTCTAACTGAGGGAAGCTAAAAATTGGTTTAGGGAATTTAGTTGCAGTTTTTCTTTTTCCCCTGTATTCTTATTTTTGCCTTGTTCTTTAGAAAATTCCCATTCTGAGTGTTTGGCATGAATTTTGTCTTAAAAGTGAAGAACCTTAAAAATATGGAAACAGTTCTTAAAAGTTAGGTAGATAAAACAGAAAATACTTCATGTGTTTGAAAGCATGCTGAAAAGGCAGCTTTATTTTTTTTTTCCTCAGAAAAAGAGTTCATTTTTCCTCTTTCCTGTTGTTATTCTATGAGGATTGCTTCCAGTGATTACATTGTTAACAGTAAAATGGAGAAAAAAGACTGAGTTGACCCAAAGGAACACAAACCTCTCCAATGAATATTTTCAAGAATTATGTGCAGGGCCTCTCTACAAGGTCAGCGTCACTGAGAATTTTATTTTGAGAAAAATAAAAGCTCATTTTCACATTGACAGTTACATTTCTATAGAGAGTGAGCTTTGGAGGCCTGAGCAGATGCCCTGAAAATGGCTATAAAGTAGAATAAAATATGCTGCTAGATTTTCCAAATTTACACAGATTTTGTCCTGTTCCTGCTTGCTACTTCTAAATGTCATTTTCATGAGCGAAGTCCAAGCGTTTGACGTTCCAAAAAAAGGCTTGTTTTATTGAGTTGGCCGGAGATTTTAGTTGGGTTTGTTTGGGGGTTGGTTTGGTTTGCTTTTTTAAGAGGGGATGTTCCCCGGGTCCGTGTGTCCCAAATGCTGTCCCCGGGCGCTGCTCTGTTATTCGCGCGGAATCCACGAGGGGTCCCCCCGCCCCCGAGGATGCTGAGGCTCATCGCTCGGCGCGCCTGCCGCAGCCCCTGGCTGTGCTCTGAACCGAGAGTTCAGCGGGAAAACAGGAAATGTGATTGTCTCCCGGGCTCTTGGAAATGAATGAGGCCATTGTGGTCAGGATCCGGATTTTGCTGGCTGCATAATGCAGTATTCTTGCACTTAAATATCCTTTCGCAGTTAACATACATTTTTCTTCCTTTGTGTATACTATTCAGTATTGTCGCTATTTACAAATTAGAAAGCAAATGAGTAAATTGCAAAGTAAATATTTGTATGTTCAGGCTCAAAAACACCCTAACATCTGGCGTTTGTAGCACTCCTATAGCCTGACAAAATTCTGCTCTAACATACTTGATGTGAGGGCAGGGGTGGGTCAGAGATGTTACACTGAAGTGAGAACAGAATCAGGCTCTTGGTGTTTTATGTGAATTTTTAACTAACATGCTGTAGTAATGTGGTACCCACTCCAGAACCCTGTCACAGCGTGTACTATACGTTTGAATTGTGTTTATTCATCAGCACCACTTACTAATCTCATGTTCTTGTCACTGGTGTCGTGCCCATCATCCATGCTTCCACCTAACCACACAGGGAGCATCTGGCTTAGACGGAAAGCCAGGAGCCCGGGTGAGTCCCTTGTCTTTCTGTGTCCTCCTCCATGACTGAGTCCGTGTGCTTCCCAGGGGCTCTGTCAGCCAAGCTCGCTCACTGCACGCAGGAAGGAAGGCCAAGTGCTGCAGGCATTTTCCGTGCTGCATAAGAGAGGGCTTCAAGCATATTCTTAGGGCAATACGTGTGGGAAAGAGAATGTAATTCTCTGTAGAAAGAGCTCTGAACCTTAAAAAGGCAGCTTAGTTTTGATTTTTGGTTGGACAACTGCCTTGGCTGGTTTGCTGGTTTTCCTGAGTAAGGTTAGGAATTTAGTTTACAGGAGAACATAGCTGTTCAGTGCTAATATGGAATCAGTGAAGGGGATGCAGATGTGCTGGGGTTCATCTACAGACGTTGTTATATTACACATCATAGATGTTAAATCTTTTGCTTCCTTTGATGATAAAGAAATCTATGCAGTGAAAGAGTTATATCTTGGAAGCAAGATTCTCATGATCACTGCAATAGGTAAGTCCATCTTACAGATGGACATTTCAATTTAAAAAATAATCAATTTTAAAAATAAAATAATAATTTAAAATCATTTTTTGACCCTTCCATCTTCTTCCAATCAGTTCAAGATCTTTGTATATGTGATTCCTTCCGTGGATGTAGTGAACACCAAACAGAAGAAAGACACTCAGCCTTGTAACAGGAGAAGTTATAGGTGGAGTTTTGAAAGCCAAATAGGTTGCATCACAATTAAATACAAATTTTCAACCAGTCAAGACTGATTCCATGTTAGATTTTGTGTACAAGACAGCTATTAAAACTAAATAGTTTTAAGAACAAGCCCTCTCTCTTACCCTCTTTGTTTCTTTTTGTAGGGTATAGATGGCCCAGTTGGTCCCCATGGCCCTGCAGGTCCCAAAGGAGAGAGAGTAAGTATATGTTCTATGTGCTTCTTCTTGCAGAGTGACTGCCACAATGGACAAATGTCATATGAGGACTCATACTGTGCCTAGATGTTACAGAACAGAACTGTACCTCACCTGTAGAGGAGCAGCCCAGAGCTGCATGTGCGTCCTAGTTACACACACATTTATCTGTTTGAGGTTGACATTGTGACTCATTAACTTCAGGGGAGCTGGTATTTTAAAATGACTGATCAGTAAGAAATTGACTGGACTTTCTAGCTCACAGTGCCACAAACAGAACATGATTTTCATTGGTTTCGTTTTGTTGTGTAAATTGAGAGAAGAAACTGGTACAAAAGAAGATAGTGTGATCTGATTATATAAGAATGCAATGGCAAAAAAAAGAAGAGTATTTCTCTCCTCTGTGATACAAATTATTGTATCCAGGAAAAATATCTCCAGCCTCTGTAATTTTTTTTTTTTAAGCTTAGAAGATAGGAGCCCCTCTGCTATTTAATTTGAAGTATTCACAGTAAATTTTCTCCAGTGAAAATAGGATAGGAACTCTAACTATGAGCCTGTCACCTTTAACAATACAACCATCAACTTATACAATAAACCAGAAGATGATACCCTAACTAAAACCTCCAAGGATTTGGCAGTGCAGAACTTTGTCTCTTTGACTTCCTCACTTTAACAAAACAACAGTGCTAAAACAACCTCAGACTAGCTGTATTAAGGACACAGCCACGTGGCAGAGGTCCAGTTAGCTTCATCTGAGAAAGGTAAGATGGGTTTTTACAGAGATGTGTGTTGAGGGATAAATACAAGACATGCAGCATAGTCCAAATTACAGTAGGCTGCAGCTACCACTCAGGCTAGCTACATGCCTGAAGGACTTGAGTATTTTTTCTGTTTTTCTAGGGGATTTCTGAGTCAATTCTTCTTTTTCTTCAATTAGGACAAAATGTATATTCTGTCAGTTCTGTGAAAATATGCTTTAATATCCTCTAATCTTAAGTAAATTATTTAGATGAGATATGTATGTAGAGGTATATAAAAATATTTGAATATTTTATTCTTGAATTAGGAGCTTTTATGATGAAGAACATGCATGTGTTCTATCAGTTGAAATGTCTTTGACAATGAAATATAATACAAACTATTCTTCTTGTCTGTGGAAGAGAGCTAGTAATACCTTTTTCTTGTGAGGGTATGCAAGGTCATAAGAAGTCATACAGCTGGATCTGTAAGCCCTAATAAGCCCTACTGTAGCTGTTGAAAAGCAGTAGCTACAAAGGGGATAGGAATTGCTGTGATGTAAGTCAGAAATTTCATGAGCACAGAAGGAGAACTTCATAAAAATAGAGAGCAAGGTGTGCAGAAAATTCCTACACACCCACCATTTTCTTTGGAGCTAAATGAATGGGAGGAGGTTCACAAGACAGAAGGAAGGTTTTTTCCAAGCAGGCAACCAGCAGGATTATTGCTGTAATTGTTCATTTAATTATTCAATACCATCTGGGAGGAGAAGTTGTTTGTAGCATAGTTATGTAACAGGTGAACAGTGTTGATATATGTCTCATTATTTAAATAACAAATCTTATCATTTAATGCTGTTTTACAACTTGCATTTGCAACTGTCGAACTTGTTTATGTGAAAACAGGAAGGAAGCATTTTTGTCTGCAGATTTCAGACTTCACTTTTTAATTAAAAACAGTGCATAGTGTTCACTGTCACTGGATAGGGCCTCATTTATTATATAACAATATATATTATATATTATAGTAATATACATCATAATATATAAATAATATATAAATCTACAAGGGCATTAGGGCTGTTTTACAGAATAATCATGAATTCATTGTTGCACAGGCTGCATTCGAGGTGATGCTGAATTACTACTGTGAGACAGAACATGTTATGCAAATTAGAGTGGGTTGTTGATTTTCAATTAACTATTTCTTAAAATAGAAAATGTCAGATCATCTTCATATGAAGTCTGTTTAGACGGTGACAAGGTAGACTAAGAAAATCATGACACTATGATATGGTTTTATGCTTTAAGTAGAAACTGAAAGCGTAATTAATAATGTGAATGAATATAATTTATGAGGCCAATGTCTAGTAGTTCTTACTAATTTTCAGCTATTGGAATAACATTTGCCAGGTGCTTAGAGAGATTTTACTGAGACCATCTTTATTAAATGGTGGAGTAGGTCATAATAGGCCTTTGAATCTGACTGTGTACCTTATTTTCACTTCCATACTGTCTTGAGAGAAAGGATAATGATAGAACACTGGAAAACAGACATCTTCAGCTACTACTGAAGATGAAAGGGAACATGTAAGCCTCAAGGATGATGACAGGCATAATACATATCCAGCTTATTGATCAGCTAAAGGAATCTGAGAGCTGGAAATAGATATTTCCTTTATTTTTTTCATTGATGACAAGGACTTTGTTTTGAGCTTGATTTTGGCTTTCAGATGTGTAGCCCGTGCAACACTTGTCATCATTACATACAATTAGTACTAGCAGGTAAAGTGCATTCTCTTTAATTTGATTAAAATGTTGCTCACCATGACAGTGCTATGAAATCTCCCTATCTACCATAATGGAGAAACAGATTATTCGGCTTTATTAATGCAAATTGTAACTCGTATTTGTCTATGATTCAGGAGACTGAAGTGAAATAGGAGGCAAAAACATAGGTTATGGTTTCTATTCTTTGGACACTGATGGATTGTCTTGTAAAAATTTTGTTTTAAAGTCTTGAAGTTTGCCAGTATCTGCTATCATGAAGGAAATTGTGATGGTTGAGGGCAGTATGCTCATGACAGTCCATCAATCTTATATAATCCATGAAGACTCAGGACATCATCTGATATTCCAAACATATTTCAGCATGTGCTATGTATTGGAGGCAAAAATTTCTGAGATACAGTTCTACAAATTTATTCTTACATAACAGATGAGATTATTTCCTAGACTGATGCATTCAGTTTCTTTATGTATGCCATCTGTTTAGCAATGTTATAAGCCTATCTTGAGAGGACTTTGAGCAGTCATCTTGCTGTTGAAGATTAAAGAAAAAAAGATGCTTAAGTTGTCTTAACATATTTGAAGTACTGATCAGAGACTTTTGTACCTCTTACCTACATAGCTCAGCACATTAGTTTCTTCTTAGCAGAAAGCTTTATAGCTGCAAGGGATTTATTGTTTTGAAAATCAGCTGTTACTTCCCAATACTTCCTATTGTCCTGCCAGGGCACCCAGCTTAAATTCTGCTCAGATTGCACATCTCGTTACCTCTAGACTAAAACAAGTGCCCACCTATGTAAAAATATAAAGTATTTAAAACAGATCCAGTTTCAGTTACTCTGATAAATTCCTTACTGCTGGGATTATTCAACCACAGGTTAAGGTCCCATTTGTTCTGGTGCCTGCCTTTTTGTATAATTCAGTCAGTGAAATTTAGACATAGCAGCCCATTTTCAGAGCTGTGCCAAGTACTTGGCTGTGCCAATAATCACCGCTATTTATTAGCTACACATCAACATCTCTGTCTTGTGCTTTTAATTATAGTCATTAATAAATTAATAATAAGCAGTAAATAACCCAGAGGATGTTGTCCAGAGAATTATCTCACAAGCATAAGTGCAGCAAGTTTAGGTCTTGTGTTTAGTTCTTGCAGCAAATTTAGTTCAAGGGGGCAGTTTAGTTCTCTCCAGAGAGAAATGCTTTTCTGATGGATTTAATTCAGAAGAACACCACAGTCTGAAACAAGACTGCTTTCCACGCCATATTCCCAGCCCTGACTCCCTACCAAGCTCTCAGGGACCTGTGCTTGCAGTTACATGGGCTAGTCCTGGCTAGCTTGGGAAGCTTAACTTCATATCAATCTTGATAAAGAACAATTAGAGAGCAAAGGTGATTATTACTGTCAGCCTGAAATTTGTCGCCTTGAAATTCCATTCCATTTGGAAAAGTTTATCCTGTATTAAGCTTGCAAAATGACTTTGGCAGCACCCCTCTAGAAACTGATAATTTTTCCATGGATTTTAGTGCAGAATGAGATCAGACTTGTGGGGTAACCTCTGTACTTTTTTGTCTTGCATATTATTACAGTAGTTTTGATTTTAATAAACCAGGGTATTTACATCACTTATCTAGAATCCAATAGAGGATTTAGCAACACAGCACTGTGCCTAGGATAATCTTCACAATGTCACTGTTAATAGCATTGCCTACTTAAATCAAGCTTTGACTGACACACTATTTTTGCCTGTCACTGTGTTGCATCTCAGCTGCTGTGTATATATACAGCTTGATGCTGTATATCGTTGGTTTTCAGTGCAGCTTTGGATTTTTACTGAGAGCAACATTAAGCTGTTAAAAGCTTAAACTTGACACTGGTGTGTGTTCAGTTGAAACATATTTTCAGTTACTCATGTATTTAAAAATGAATGAGATATCATATGCATAAAAAATTTTGCCTAGAAAGTAATAAGACACCTTCTCCCCTTAAGCATTTAATAAAAATAAATGAGCTTGGATATTTTTCACTCAAAATACTTAGGAATGCATAAACTTTAACCTAAACCACTTGGTAGAGATAATTTCTAAGATAGCCAATGTTTTTGTTTGCTTGTTCTGCAATCTTTTCTTAGGGTGAGAAGGGAACTGTAGGTGACCCTGGACCCAGAGGACCATATGGCTTGCCTGTAAGTTGCACAGAGTTTGTACACACTGCACTTTTCATCCCTCCCTGATTAAACTTCATGTGCTTTATGGCTGATTTTCACCTTGCAGTAAAATTAGTTGGAAGAGGCAGAGATTGATAATAAACACTGACAGTGCAAGGTCAATGGTCTGTATTACACTCTTGGGTTTCTACCCATGCACATAAGCAAACAGACCTGACATGAACCAGCAAGAGAGAGAAGATGCAGAATGCTCCTGGTTCAGCAGCTTTTGGCCATCAGCTGCCTGGGGGCCATGTGAGAGTGGCAGGGGTTCAGGAGTAACTGTGGAAAGCTGTGAATTTCTTAATGTCAGTAAGCTGCTTGGATTTCCATACTGCAAGGTTTCTTTGCCATTATGTTTTTGTTTTGTTTGTTACTTCAGAGACCCATTTTGTTTTCATTTCTTTGCCATCTACTCAGAAGCAATGTGAGAATTTCATTGCTGCTTATTCATAGGTGGAAATTATTTGATTTAAATAAATAACTTTAATTATGTTATCCGTTTCTAAAATATGAGAGAGAGCTTCCTTTGGCCTGACAAGGATATCCCAAATAAAATCAGTTGACTTTCCCTGTTTACACTGCTAATGACTGGGTCAGGTGTGTACATATACACATCTTTTCTGTACTTTGACACAAGGAAAGTCATGTAAATGTGCTTCGCCAGGCAAAACCAGCCTTTCCAGGAGACTTCTAGTGTTTCCGTACCCTCTCCAGTCTAATCTGTTTGATTCATTAATTTAAGCTGGAATACAGACCTGTAGTTTAATTGGATCCATTTAATTGGATCAGGAGTCAGTGGCTGGAGACAGTTTTCAGGCTCCATGGAGTGTTAAATTAGTTTGCCACACATTTTTATGTGAGAGTCACTTTTGTGAGTGAATTTTTTTAAATCCTATTTCTGTTTCCCATTCCTGCAAACTAAAAATAAAATTTTATAGGTTTTTACTGTATTTTTAGCGTGCTCCTGGAATCTGCCTGCAAACAAAATTTTACAGTCAAGCAAAAATTTGCAGCCAGGTTATCACTTCCTGGAAATGTTAAACATGGGCAGCAGTGTCCTTGTCTGAGGGAAGCTAATGAAGTTCCTGTGGTTCTTTGGCAGGGCAAGGACGGCGAGCCTGGCCTTGATGTAAGTAATGTGTGTGTGACCAGGGCACTCTCGGGGTCAGTAAGAGTGTGCCAAGAAATCCCTTGGGGAGCACAGCACCTTTGCTGCCCTTTAGAGTGCGTGCAGTACCTGCAGAATGTGCTGAATGCTGCGTTTGCTCTTTCTCTGCGGTAGAGGACAAAGATTGTGCAATGTACATCCCTTATTGACAGGCACCACCAGATAGTAGTGCTTAGCAATACAAGTACTTGGTCCTTTGGGTGTAAGTAGGCTGAAAAAATGCTTGCTAAGAAACTATTCAGATGACTCATTTGTAGAAGAACAAGGAGTCACTTAGCACTTAGTTAACTAAATTTATTCTAATTAAAGAGAATTATTCCATAGCCTGTAAGGAATATGTTTCAAAACGTAGGCTCTTTCCTCGGCATTCAAAAAAGACTTACTGAAAGTCTTTTTCTGTCGTCCTACACTGAAATCCCTAACTTGGAGGAGTTTTTTTTCAGAATGCACATATGCTATGTAGCATGGATGATTTGATGTTTGAGTGGTATGATTTCTTTCTGTAGCTGCCAAAATGTCTCTACCAAACTCTGTGACTTATTCGTCTTATATGTTCTCGTGTCCATGCACATGTCCACACATAACACACATATATGTACAGAGCACGTAGTGAAATCATCTTTTTAGGTTTTCCAAGAGTATTTGAAAACTTAAATCTGCATGTTAATAAAAGTCAATCTATCTTTGTCCGTTTTGTTTTTATAGGGTTTCCCTGGTCCTCGAGGAGAAAAGGGTGATATAGGAGAAAAGGGAGAAAAGGTGACCAGTGTTATTAACTGTTGCTTGATTCCTCAGCTAATCAATTCTGCTGTCTCTATGCTATAAATTGTCCCATTAAAACTTATTTTTGTTTTTACTGTGTGCCAAAAGGCAAATCACAGATACACGCTAGAGCAAAATCATGAAAAATCACAAAAATATATGTACGGGATCAGAAATATCAACATGTCCCAAAGCACAGCCCTTTTATTTTAGGCTCATTTTTTCCAATCCGTCCTGCACTTGTTGAAAGTCCTGAAATATTTAATACAGACATTAGTCAATGTGGTAGTGATTTTATACTGCAGAGCCCAGCTGTGTTCCCTGGCAGTATTTGCAGACTAGTGGTTGATCCTGGTGTAGTATGCCTGTACCTGCTACCTGTCCCACACCAAATGGCTAAGACAGGAACTGTTAAAATTTTTATTTTTGGCAATGTTTTATTTGCGATTAAGGACTTGGTGATACTTGTGAATTGAAATTGAATCATATAGTCTACCATTCTGGTAGACAGTGAATTAACAGAAAAACCCTGACTTCATTTTCAGTGTCCAGACACAGTGACTTGGAAATCTGTTTAGCAAAAAGCAGTGCAGGACTTAATGTGTGTAGAGAAGCTTCTTAAGCAAATCTTTTCCATTCATATCAATCAAAGCCCAGTTGCTAAAATTGCTGAATTAGAATTCACACCAAGCCACTTAATGTAAAATTCCATACACACAACAGATTATTTTTCTAGGTCAGACAAATGTTTTTGTCAAGCTGACACATGCAGGGTTAGGCTAGATTAATTTCTCATTATGGTGCCCTAAACAAGAAGCAGGGCTAAAAAGTCACCATGGGGGTTATAGTTCATCTCCATTTCTTAATATGGTTAGGCAAAACACTTCCCAAGAAAGCACTGAATAGAGTATTATGAAATTCATCCTTAACTTTTGTCCCTTGGTATATTGCTCTTTCTTTTGAGCTCAGAGATCACTGGTTAAGTACTAATTTTGCAGAACAACAATTGTTTAAGCAAGTACTCCATGAGTATTACAAAGGTTGTGTTTGACCTGGCAGAGTAATCACAATGAGTGGTGAGCCCTTGCTTGCTGTTGGAGTACAGGTCTGTCTGCCAGCAGTGAAGAGCTTTTCTCCTTGAGAGCTGCTATCAGCCAAAAGGTAAAACTGATAACTGCCAGCTCAGGGAGGTGATGGTCAAAATGCTCTTTGTGCTAAGTGGGAGTTACAGCAAGTGCCAAACAGAATGAGCTTAACATTGTGTTCTCACTCTGGGATACATTTGAAGAGTTGTGTCTGAAAGATAAAAATAAGTAATTATGCCTCTCTAATCAGTTCCGTTGAGGTCGCTTCAATACTGCAGATGGTCCTTTGAGCCTCATAGTTCAAGAAAAAATCAGAGAGTAAGAAGGTTACTGACCTGGCAGGAGTCTAGGGCAAAACACAACCAGTAGCAGAGGTTGGAGGAGGTACTACTTGGGAGATGAAAAGATGATAGAACAAAACTCCTCTGGGTAATGGCAAATGGAGAAATGCAGGACCACAAGGTGCTCCTGAGAGGTTCAGAGCAATTGTTCACAAGGAGGACAGCACAGCACTGGGACAGTGAGTCCAGAGAGAGGGCTGAACCACTGCCCAAGGAGCACTGCAGAACCTGGTCAGCCTGGTCTGATCTGATCTGACCTAGGGTTAGGAATCATCCTGCTCACAATGGGAATCTTAGGCCACCTCTAGAACTCCCTTTCAGCCAGACTTTCTGTTTTTCCATGTACATCTAAAGCAGATAGGCAGACAAATTTCAGCCACCATAGCTCCAGAAGATTTCTGGAAGAAAAGATGGAAAGCTGGTAAAAACGTTCGCTTATACAAAATAATGTGGAAATGGAACAGATAAGATTCAGCACTCAGGATGTAAAAATGTTTTATTATTCCAGAGTCCAGTGTGCTTCTTTTTAGATATTAGTCTGTGATTCCCAGTGACTGATTAGATAAGTCAAACATGGGATTTCCAGTTGCAAAGGAGTCAGGGAATTGTATATGGGAATGGTGTGTGGCACGGCTACACCCTTTTCAGAGGTCAGCTGTGATTTTGGCTGCAGGACACATCTCCCAGTAACTCTGGTTCTCCATCTCCCTAAAAATTCATGAAAAGGAAAACCCTGTTTCCTGAGGAGAATGCATGGGATGAAGTAGTTAGCAAGTTCTGATACATGTTTCAAAAAACACTGTTTTGTTGACTTCCAGAAAGAGGATTGACAGGAAGTCTGTAGGGCAAAAATGGAGATTGAATACCTGCCTTAAAAATTCCCAGGGTATTTGAGGAAAACAAGGAGGCAAAGGAAGGCCTTTCCCAGTGAAATGTCAGGGAAGATGTAGTGGAGACCTCTGTGGAAGACACTTCCATTGCACAGTTTAAACTAATTTTTCCCATAGATTAGGGAATATTTCTGTCATGCAAACAAACTTACTTCACCGAAATTACTTTAGCTGCATCAATAGTTCCTTTTCGAAATAGAAAGCTGACCCTGAAAAGACACAAAGTAATGCAATTAATCCAGATTCTCATTATGACAAGTCTTCTGTGTTCTGGCGGTTTTCCTTATGTGACCAAACTGGTGTAACAGCACCATTTCAACAGATAAACCATTTTTGTAATAACAGATAGACAAGTTGACCATACAGATTATGATTTCCTTTTTTAAAAATATTTTTACAGTATTGGCTATTGGTCTGACATCACACAAATTCAGATTAAGTGAGTTTCTAGTTAAGAAACTTAAATTGCACTGCAAAAATACGTATCATTATGAACATTCTAAAGAGAACCAGTGACTTTTTTTTCATAGACATGCAGGGAATAAATCTTTACTTCTTAAGTTTGAGATGAGTCCTAGACTGCTGACCTGTATTTTAACCCATCAGTAGTTCTACTACAGTGATAGCAAGTCAGTGTTTGCACTATGCCTTCTTAATATGGCTGTAAAAATATTTTTTAAGTGTTCTAGCTGTAATTACTCATACAAAATTATAGTCCAGGAGCACTCATCACAAAAAATGGTTTGTATTTTCAAGCTGCATGAACAGAAGAAAAATCCTTTCAAAAACAAATGAGCTCTAACAGAAGTTAGAGATTGTGTTGTGGGGAAAGGAGGGAAGTGGCCCCTGGTCCCATATGCACAGTTGTGACAGTTGTTATGAATTTTGACAGAGGAGTATGGTGTGTCTGAGCAGAGGATGAAAAGGCATTATCCTTTTCCTGTACACTCTGCATTGATGAAAATCTGTGCGTTTGAGGATTGTAGATTGTTCCAGTCATAATGTTGTTGCAGAAGTGTCACAGCTTTTTGTTTCTCTAGGCACAGAGGAAGGACAGAAAGGAATTTTTTTCTAATCCTCATCATATATAGAATCCCCATAACTCCTGTGGGTTTCTATAATTCAGCATAAGGGGTAAAGATCAAAGATTAAAAAGAAAGAACTCAGTCTGTGGAAAATAGTAAAGTACCCAGGAAATTCAGACTGTTTTCTACACAAGTGACTGCTTCATTGGTTTGCATAAGATCATAGATCTGCCTGCAAAAAGTTGAGAAGTTGAAAATAGTTGGAAGTTGAAAATAGTTACTTGCTGGCTTATAAAACAAGAAGTCAAAGAAATGAAAATCCTAAAGATTTAAAAAAGAGTCAGAAACCAAACTGTACTGTTCATTTTCAGAATCCTTTTCTGAAATGTGCAAGCACATGCTCTGTGCTTGCATACACTCACTGAAAAGATATTGGTGCTACACTGAGCACAAATAGCACAAAATGTGACCCCAAGCTGTTGGGTTTCTCTGTTACGTTGTCATCTCTGTAGGTTTAAGATGGAAATGTAGCCAATTTATGGTTCTTGTCTTGTGAGGATTTTTTTTACATCACAATCCTACCATGTGGTAAGGACTGGTAATGTTTGGGTTGCTGTTTTTCCAAATATTATCCTGTGACCTCTTGGCACACAGAAAAGATAAACAAGTAACTTTGCTTCTATCGTGACGTGGATGCAATATGTTTTGTTAATGGAACATTTTGTTTGATTTAAATGTGTCAAGTATGCTGTTATATTCAATTACTAATCTGCTTACCTTCCTTTTTAAAATATTATCTATATAATTTTTTTAATGCATAAAAATTATTTTTCTCTATTGTTAACGGATTAAGTCTTTCTGTACTGGTGTGGAACAAGTTAAATGTCTTATTAATATGCTTCACCAAAATCCATCTTGTCTTTCCAAAGGGGCATTCCTTCCTTCTCCTTCTAACCCCATTCCTCACAAGTCAAATCCTCCCAATAGCCACAAACTCACCTGCTGGTTCTCAGATGTTATACTAATTTTCCTATGACTATTTTTCCCATTTCTTTGTGATATCCTGATTTACTCATCCTTCCTATCCCATTTTTTACAATGCTAGTCCAATTCGCTTTTTTTAAGTGATCCCTTTTTGATTTTTGTGAAATTGAGAGCAACCTGAAACTCATTTACCATTGTGATCAACTGGTGTGAAATCAATTATAAAATGAACTCTAAACCTCTTATGCTGCTTGAAGGTGAGGTCATCTTTGGAGGTAGCTTTGTTGAGGGGAATCAACTAATTTCCATGAGAACTAAAGCATTGGAAGTTTCGCATTTAAAAAGAAAACTCACTGTGAAATCAAAGTACTGAATTTTGTAAAACAAATACATGAAACATTGCCTGCAGCAGAGAGAATATTTGAATGTTGAAATGCTTAAATAAATAATTATCACTTCTGATTACTTTATGATACCAGGACAATATGAAATTGTTGAAAGTGTCATAGCACCTCTCCATCAAGCAGTTCGAGTGTTTTGATTCCTGTAACAGGGTTTGAAATGGTCATGTTGTGTTTGGAGTGACAGCAGTGCACCCTCAGTGACGTCCGTGGGTTTCTATGGACACCACAGAGAACAGGATTTATTCCAAACTCTTACCAGAGTGCAGAGGGTCAGTAAGCAAAGGATGCTCCTGGCCAGGTTCACCCTTGATGTGACACCCTGGAAGCTGATGGAATTGAGTCAACCATCCCTATGAAGCCTCTGTGCCACAGGTCTTTTATCAAAATACTCTGCTGATGGATTCTGCTCTCCCAGAGTTACTTCTGACTATTGGCAAATCCTCCAGGAAGCTGACAAGTTCAGCTTAGTGAGCATGTGCCCTTCAGTGCTATCATTTACCAAAATAGGACACCTCTTATTTTGGACTGCACATTGGGGGGATTTCCAGATTTGCCTCTGTCTCAAGAAATCAATGATTTCAAGCTCTGTTCTAGGTTTCAAAACATTCATAATACTGATATGAAATACCAACACAAACTAATAGAGACTGATTGCAGTTCTTGTTTGTGATCATATAATTTATTTTTCCACATAATGCACCATCCAAAACAGAACACAGTGGTAAGTGTCCTTTCAGCTCTCCATTGGCTTAAAAAGAAAAAACCCAAACTTTAAACCCAATATTTCTTTATTTGTTTTCAAAAGAATGAAACTTGTTTTATCCAAACCGTTGTATCCACAGGGGGAAAAGGGAAAGAAAGGCAAAAAAGGGCCTAAAGGGGAGAAAGGAGAACAGGGTGCTCCTGGATTAGATGCACCTTGCCCATTGGTACGTCTCTTGTGTATTGGAAGATCAGTCATCCTGCTGTAAACTGATGGAATAAGAAATGAGGGGAGAGGAACAAGCACCAGCTACTGTGTAACCTGTCACCCTTTAACACAGCGTCATCTCAAGTGCAAATTCTGGAGCAAATTTTGTGTGTAAACCTCCTAATTTGCTTTAAAGCACCAGACTTTAAACCTTTGGGCTAAGTTTGTGAGGTTTGGATAGTAGGGTTTTGGTTTGTTGTTTTTTTTTTATTATTTTTTTCTACAAAATACTTTGGAAAGGAGCCAGATTTGGAATGTGCCGGAATCAGTGCCACACAGGTTTAAATCATAAGCAGTCAGCTTGTTCCTCTTGCCTCCCTGTTGTTTTTTGTTCACTCCATTTAAGTCAATACTGAAGACCTTTCCTTGACAGTAACATTGCAAGTTAATCTTTACAAACAGGGTTTCCGTGGAATTAAGGGGGAAAAGGGGGAGCCAGGCCAGCCTGGCCTGGATGGGCTGGATGCCCCTTGCCAATTGGTACAGTATTTCTCTTTCCTACCAACCCTGCATGCAGTTCCTTTGTTTGTAGTCAGCCATTCTTGATGTAAAGTAATGTTTTTCTGAGCTGACTTTACATTTTTCACATAACACATGCATGTGCATGAACAAACCAGCTGCTTCAAGTGATCATAACTGCAATGAGAGAACACGTTGACACCTTAAGCCTAACTCTCAGCAATTTGCTCCCACATCACATGGTAATTTATAAGTTTGTGTTCTTCCTACATTTTCTCTGAGAATCATTGGTTTGTTACTTTACTCGCAAAATACCCATTGCCTTACTCACCCTGAACCCAAGTTGTAGAAATCCAGCACAGCGTTCACCTCTAATCAAGTCTGATGACTTCTGTCTGCACTGGCTCAGTTGCACACCCTGGCTTGTCCCATAGCTACTCTGCACCCTGGTCTTCCTTCCATATCCATGCCATCTAAGGGGCATGTTTTCACAAGCTGGCCAAAATGAGAGTCACAAACAGAAGGATGTAAATACTGTTTCTAAAAATCAAGGTTTCCAGTAAGCCAAGCTGGAGCTTTGGCTTCCAGACCGTCCACAAGTAATGTTTGTGGTGTCTGGCCTGTTCATCAGAGTATTCAAACACATCTGGAAATAAAAAGCTTACCTGATGTTTGTAAGAACATAACGGTCTGCAGCCCAAACCCTCAATGTCTTTGTTATTTAATGTCTCCAATTTAATGGTCTTACCCTTGGAACTTACCTTCCTGAAATACACACAACACTCCCCACCCTATGCTAGCATGAATTCAAGTTCCCACCTATACTAAAATGCTACTTCTTGACCCTCTCCCTTGTACCAATCTGGCAACAATTATTTTTATTTAGTGGTAAAGTAAGTTGGAACTCTTTTCCATTTAAGAAAGAAAACCCCAAATGAATAGTACATACACATTTCCTAAAGATACAAGGAGGCTTTTCTTTTTAATTGTTCACAGTAAAATGTGATCTGCATGTTCTGATATTGTTTGGTGGTTAAGCACGGTTCTCTGAAATGAATGTTTAATTAAGTAGGTTTTATTTTGACTGTAGCACTTCTAATTTGAAGTCAATTGCTTTTTGATTGTAAATACATAGTCCATTAAGATTATTCCATAGTCCATGTTGTTTGCTTTCAATTAATGGTAACCATATCTCATATTTTGTTGGGGATAATCAAGCATGCTTTTGTAATTTAAAAATGTTTCTCTGTCTCTGTATTACCATTTATATCTGAAGATTTACTAACAATCATCGATTGATAAAAAACATTCTGTTCATAGATTATTGCTAAAATAAGCTGTTCAGCATGCAGCACTGTCTCCTGTTTAGGCAGCAAGTCATTCACATCAGACCACAGTCAAGTATATTCAAAAATCTGTATTAACCATTACCTTCACATGTAGGTTAACATTAAGTATTCATATTCTAAATTCTAAGAAATGTGAAGGCCTGATTTTTTTTTTCTGCTTATGCATAGTCTAGTTACATTGTATGTGCTCCTAATTCTGAGCATATAACTCCCTGAATAAAGCTTAGACAGCCACGTTAATTGGAATTAGATCCATGAAAACCAGTATGACTCTGGTCAAAAGCTGGCTCTGATCTTACTGGATGCATGGAGATACATGAAGGTAGGGTGGAAGCAGAAAAAGAATGACTTTCAATAACATGAGAAGAAATTAGATGGCCATACTGTCCAAGCACTGAAATAATCAGTGGTGCTGTGCTGCCCTGCTCCCACCGCTGATGTTTTCTTCCTCTGTGGCTCTCAAGGTATGTTCAGGCCTTAAGATTTCACTGCTTCATTCAAAAACTTGAAATATTGAAAGTGAAAAGAAAAGATCCTACTCCCATTCGAGCTGTCTTATCACAGGGTGACCTTTGTACAAGGGGCCCATAAAACATAATACTCTCCAGATAAAAGTGATAGTATTTCTTTTTCTCACTGATCTTGTACACTCAGATAAAGATTGTTGTAAATAAAAGAGATTATATTTAAAATAACATGTAACCTGGGCTCTAACAGCAGTGAAAAACTGATAAAGAAGTTCTAATGATTTAGAGAAAAACAAATCTTCATAGCAGAGAAGTGCATGTATGTATTTACAGTGTAAACCTTCCCGCCTTTGGCTTTTCCTTCACTTGGAGAATAAGAGGAAATAAGTTAACTGCTAGCTACTTTTTAGATAGTCAAAGCTGCTTCAGCTGTTCTAACAGATGAAATATCTATCCTATCGAACTTGTTTTGATTTTTTGTTTGTTTGGGTTTTTTTTAACTTTTACTCCCCTTGAAACAGGGTCCCGATGGATTACCAATGCCTGGCTGTTGGCAAAAGGTAGGATGGGCAGAGCTTTTTCTTTTCAGGAGCAGTATGTCCTTAGCACACGGAAATACGTGTCACAATCGTACTGAACAGTATCAAGATACGCTTCAGAGCCTCCTAGGCAGACAAATCAAGCAATGCAAGATCAGACCTCTCCATGACAGTATTCATGTGATATGTTTTAATTTATGTAGAATAGTTCATTGAGGCACTACTGTAGAAATAGTTGGTGTTAGTTTCCTGGAAAGTCCAAGACTTTCCTTTTTTCACATGAAGACTCACACATTTTTGGTTTCTGTGGATGATCAGTGCTTCCTATTCATTATAAAAGCTAATGGATATGGCATTTTTGTCAAATATTTCTGTAGATCTATTATTATATTGGCTTTCTGGGATACTGAGAAGGACAGTGTATCCTGACCTTTTCTTTGCCTTTCTTTTCTATTCTTCAATAAATTCTCCTGGGTTTTGTGTTTTATGACAATATTAACTGGTGACATTATTTTAGTAAAGATTTAACCTAGACAGTGCTTGATTTAAAAACATAGCATTCAGAAAAATATAGTTGGAGGGATACTGGCATATAATACATCAGAAAACATGAAGCATAAGTGAAATCCCAGGTGCATTTATTTCTGAAGAATAGTTGGTGCTGAGGAAATAACTATGCATATTTGCAACTCTGGCTTATCTGTGTATTTGTAGTAGATGTCTGAAATATCATACTAATTTGATTAATCTGTATCTCTTTTTGTCTCTGCAGTGATGAATCTAACCTTAAAAGCATGAAGTTGTGTATATAGTGCTCCACTTTTTTATTTATAGTTGAGAACTGAAAATTTGATTTTACAAGTCTGAGATATGTTTACATGTAGCTGCTTCTACTTGTTTGCAATAGTCCATACATACATTTTTTTTCACCTACATCTGCAGTGAGATGATACAATAACTGCAGGATAAACCTGCAGAGATTGTCTCTCTAATGGGAGAGACCTCAGAAGAATGATCGATAATAGAAACTAATTCTTCTGTAAATTCTTATATTTTGGCTTGTGGATATGCATGGACAATGAGTGCCATGAACCAGTTTACAAGAAAATGTGACCAAATAAGAGCAAAATGCTATGAAATGTACTGTACCAGCTGCTGTTGGAGTTTACTCACTTGGCTTCCATGTCCATCTTAAACACATCACTGATTCATGACCCCCTATCTGCTCATATGAACTAAAAGCATGAGTTTGTGTGCCAGACCTGCTTGCTGTGTGATCATGAGTGGCTGTTCAGAGTGACCTTTGATTACAGCTTCTGAGTCATTTCCTTTTGTCATCTCAAGGGAGTCACACCATGGCTCATTGCTAAAAAGAGATAAACCAGAGGAGCATAGAAAGAGGCCTTGAATTTTTGGGGAATAGCATTCCAGCTGCAGGTGGATGGCTTCCAGTCTCGCGGGATACTTGGCCCCTTTGATCAAGGAGGGTCCCGCGGGTTGATGAGCATCGGTTTTGCCTTGCCCTGCTCACGGTCATGAAGACATTCACAATAGGCCCTGTCGAGTCCTTACTCAAGAGGGACAGAATGTTAAAGAAGAAACCAGACTTCTCTCTGAGTTGTTTGAAAAGGTTACAGAGGTGCTGCAGGGATCATTTGATGGCAGACACCGCCTGAGACCAGAAGCTTCTCAACCTCACTCAAGGATGGACAGAGTATCTGTACTCTGCATATTGTATTTTGGGTCTGCTGGAGGAGAAAGCACTCTTGAGGTGGGGATGAATCAGATCATCCTCCAGAGGAGGATAACAATGGAACTGACCAGAGATGTATGTATCATGGTGTGGTTTTCAGGTTATTCACCTTAAATTACACATAACTAGCTGAACTTCACTACAGGATTTTGGAAGCTATAGTTCGTTTTGTTTCCTTTTCCTGTTACTGTTGCCATAAAGAATGCATTTCAATAATCTATTCAACGTTTGTCATGAAGGCATTGAAGAAAATACTTTCAAGCCACATATTCATCTTGTTTCAGTATTAACAGTTTTTATTTCCGAGTCTTTGAAACCTTTAAGTTTAGAAGAGAAAGAGTTTATTTTTGTGTTTCACAAAATGATGCATTCATCTTGTTCCTTTTATGTTGTTACGGTTATTTTAGTGGACATTATTGCTCAAAAAACATTGGAGAGAAATAATTCTGTGTGATTATCACTGCACACTTGTCACCATGCTTTGCTGTTAAGTGTGTTGATTTTTCTCCTTTTCTGTTCAGATGGCTTTCTAGAGAAACATTTCCTTCTACACTTTTTTTTAATTGCTAGAAATACATATTTTGTGCACATTTGTAGTTTTGCCACGAGGTATTTTTTACAATTTTGAGTCTTCATATGGTGCACTGAAATTAGTTTGAGAGATTAATTTGTGAGAAATGGTGCCATATTGGGCAGATGGAAATTCTTTTCATATAATTTCTGTTCCTAATGTATATAGCAGGATCATCCCAAACGTTTTTAGTTATTTTTCAAAGAGTTGTCTTTCATGTAGACCAAAACTAAAGTTGAAGAAGACAGCGTGTCTCCATTCATATCAGGGCACCTTGTGCCCTTCTTGGAACGCACATTTTTCCTTGCTCCATCATTTCTAAATCATTTGGAGTGTAAGCCTCTGACTTGCCACTTCCAGTCTGCTTGTTTAGGCAGCAATGTCTCAAAATCCAGCAGGCTGAGGAGCAAGTTCCTGCCTGACAGAAAAGAGTTGTTCATGTCAGTGTCCTGACTTGGCACATTTTGCTGGATACATGGCAGATGTGGAGACTAGAAGCTGAATGTTTTTTAAGCTATTGAATACTGGCAATCAATACAGTAAGATGAAATGTTTTTTAAAGGTCCTTCAGAGTATTTACATGCAAAATCAAGAAGGATATTAATTATCTAGCTAGATGATTTAGCAACTCCATATTGAGACTGTCCACAAACACAACTCACTTATGAAATAGCAACAAGATAAATAATGCTGTCATTAGCACTTTCTTTTTTTTAAATTATGTACCTATATTTTTTAACTGCCCTTCTAGCATCCATTTCGATATGCACCAACAAAGCTAGCAGAGCTTTGGTCCATGGTTTTGTCATTCAGGAAATAATTATAGACACTACTGTTAAGTGTTAGTCAAAACTCAGTTCTCCTTTAACTCCCTGACACCTGAAACCCTACTGAAGAAACACTTAAGCACCTTCATTTACTTTCTTTTCTGTCTTGTAAATTAATTTCTTTATTAAATTCCCAGCAGGCAGGAATACTTTTCTTTCCCCAAATAATCTTACTTGGCTTTTTTAGCCTTTATGTTGTTCAATATCATGAAATGTTTATTCCTTTTAAATGACCATGAGTGAGCAGTAGATCATTTAATTTGAAAGGTTGAACTTCATACGTAGATTTGGCATTAATACTTGCATCTCAGATTGAATTGAAGTGAAAGTTAACCATATCTAGAAAAGTTGCATTGTCAGTACAAGAAAAAAAAATTTGGTTTAATATTTCATCAAGAAAAGCACCCTGTGAAGACTTGCAGTATGTTTATTTTGTTCAAGAAGCAACTATTTCTGGTGCTAGTATATCTTTTTCCTTTTAACAGTTTGAGCTGCCAGTGTATTGTTCTATCTTTTAGTGGCATTCCTCCAGATATGATTTGTTTTGTTTAGTTTGTGAGAAGAACAGTAGTTCCTCTACCAGTCTTTTCATTTGTAGAAATGTGTAGTGGTATTAGTCTACACAGTTTCTATATCCCTGATTTTTCAGGTATGATTAATCCTTGTTTCTTTGAGAGTTTTCAGTATTTGTTTCATATGAAATTTTTAAATTATCTGTTACTCCAGTGCATTAAAAACATATTGTGGAGAAGTCCTGCTACAGAGGCCACAAGTCTTTTAAGCACTATGTGGAATATGTCTGACATACATGGTCCTTGTCTTCATATTCATAGACTGTGGGAAAGCTTTCTTTCAGGATGCTTTGGATAACTTTTTATTTTTTCCTGAGGTACAGCATGAGATGTTAAATCACAGAGCAATGATACAATGTATTTTTTGATTTCTATTTTTATTTCTTGCTGGTCGTGATGTCATATTCTGGTAGAGTAGCAAAGCAGAATGATGCTCTTCATCCAGCTGTTTATATATTATTTTAGTCCATGGTGTCAGTAGTATGAATGAGTTTCAGAATGATCAAATCCATATATCTGCACATGTGTAAAGTGTAGAGTTGGAAAAGGAATAATTCTTAAGATTGATGTACAGTGTGGAAAGTTAGCGTTGGCTCCACTGAGCATCTCACCCATGGACGGGGTGCATGCCACCACCAGTTCCTTGGTTATGCCACGAGAGAGACATAGCAACCCCAAGTGAGAGCAGCAAACCTTGGATCCCCAGGGGAGATTGGTGTGTGTAAGGCTGGGGGCTGTGCCAGAACACGTGGCTGGGATCCTGGATCCCCATAGGAGGTGGAGACGGTTGTCCCATTGACCACCCCAGAACTGGAATCGTAAACCTGACTCAGCCATGCAAGGCTCCTCTCCTAGCTGTGCCTCCCCATCCAGCAAGGACCAGGGGACAGAGATGCATCCTCTCCTTTCAAAGCTCTTTGAGACATGCAGGAGGAAGGACCCAGGTGTTATGCTTTGTAACGAGGGGAATATTAGCACCTTCAGCAGTGGGGTTTTACCTAAATCAGGACTACTTCAGTAAGAACTGCAGAGATATTGTCAGCCTATTTATTGAAAGTCATGAAGAGGTTCAAGACATGCAGAAGTTCCCTTCTCCCCATCAAATTTCCTCATCTCTGCTGCTTAACCATCTTAAATTACATTTTTTAATCTCTGTATTGTACCTAATGAGGTTCCTAAATTTTCACACTAAAGACACAAAACACATCTGCAAAGATAGTGGTCAAAAGAAAGTTTAATTTGTAGTCATTGCAAAAATTCCATTTCAGTGACTGGAATTAAAACTAAAACTGATTTTTTTTCTTCTTTTCTGCTATTTATTTTTATGGATGTCAATGTTGCTGTAATGTACAAAAGAAGGTTTTCTTGCACCCTCTGTTATTAAAATATTTTATGTGGTGGTTGGATTCATTAAATGCAGTTAGAAACAAGTGCCTGCCACCATTATTTCTGAAAAAAATTCTCGACAGAACAAGTGGAGTTTGTATTTTAAAAGGGATTTGGAGTGTTGTTTTTGTTTCATTTTGTTTTTAAATGCATCCAATTATCAATGCTGCTTGGAAATTGAATTTTCCTTGAAAGCAGGGGGCCTTAACTTAACCTGGGACCGTTAGTGTTTTACTTTTTTCTATTTAAAAAAGAAATTGTATTAATTTCCCAGATCCCATTGGTACTTGCACACTTCTCTGAAGTATTATGGAGAGTTGGGTTGGTGGAAGAATGTTTTACATATTGTTAACATATATGTGGATATTCTTATATTATTGTACATGTTTGGGAAAATATCACACAACTTTAAAAATGTTGCTAAGATGTATGTATCTGACTTTTTCCTTTGGAAAATATTATATATTTTTATTTGTATTTTTTACTTTTTTAAGTTCATCTATATGTGCCGTTATTTTTGTATTGCAAATGGTCTCATAAATGAAGTAGAAGAGATAAAAATACAAAGAAAAGTAATTTTGCAAGGATTTCAATGTTTAGGGGGAAAATACATGGGTCAACATCGTATTATCAACACTAGAAGTATTTTGAGTGTCTTAGCACTGTAAATATGTCACAAGACCTCTATTGATGAGTAGTATAAAGAATTGCAAGATTTTAATCACCCATTTTAATTTGTTATTATTTACCACTTTCTTGTGGCCACTGGTCTTGACTTAATTGAACCCAATCAAACAGCATGCTTTTGTTTTTATTATTAAAATTTCTCCGTGTTTTTAAGTTGAATATTGGTTTGTTTTCTTTCAGTTTTGTACTTCAGGTTTTGTTTCTTGCTTGTGAGAAGTTGATCTTCGGAATTATTTTTACACTATTTATGATTTATTTTCATAATGTAAAAAGTGTGTAATTATTAAAATATTAATCCAACCATTGGTGCTGATTTTGAATAGTTATAGAGTTCTTAATGTTGGTGCAAAAAAGTGTTCTAGTCTATCTGAATTGGAAAATGTGTGTGCTGCTTAGTGCCAACCTGGAGTTTGAAGTCTCGAGCAAGTTGTGTCAGACATTCACACAAAAATCAGGGCCTCTGCCACGTGTGCAGTAAGAAAACTCACCTTCCTCTTTGTGTTCCTAATGTGTCTTTCCCCTTCAAAGCAGCATCTCTTCATTATCTTTTATAAACAGGCAGCAGAGGCTGTGGGCATTCACAAATTATGTAAGGAAGAAGTTTTCCTGCAAAGCTTGGAGTCTTTCCTCGCTCTGGGAAAGTTGCAGGCATCTGTATTAACCAGAAGTTGAAACTATTGCTTAGGCAAGTTCAGAGGCACCCTGGGACCTAAAGAAATAAAGCTGAAAATCAACAGTCCCTTTTCTGTAGTTCTGAAGGTGAAAAATAAACGTGAACTGCTGAGAAATAAAGATGTGCACAGGCAGTGTCACAAGTAACAGTGAAAACTAGAAAATGTGAGGGTCTCTTTTCCACAGATCCAGCTTGTTCAGAAATGATGGAACATAATAATTATTACAGAATGGTATATTTTTAAGCACCCTGGTTTAAGAAGACATATGTTTGCAGGAGTCTCCCTGAACAAAATATTTTAATAAACACTGGGGAGCAGCTATAATTTCTTCAACATATTATTTAAATGTTTGGATTATCTAAATCTCAAAATATGTCAGACGAACAGAACACAGTTTCCCTTTCCATCACCTCAAAAATGCAGTCACTGTAGGTGGAGGGAATTGTAGGTGGGGAGGTTTGGTCTCTCCTATTAACTCCTGCTAATCTCCATAAATGTCCATTAATCTAACCTAGCTCTGTTTTAGGCTCTTGGAGGCACTAAAAATACCTTTGCTACCTTTCCAGGATGAGGTACTTCCAGCCTAACGTGTGGTGCTCTGCCAGGCTGAGCGCGTGGCCCCGAGGGCTGCAAGCGCTGCTGTCACCCCAGCTGGGCAGCCCTGACCCAGGTGACGTCCTTGCTTCAGCTGTGGCCACTCTTGCCCTTTTCTTGCTTCCATCCTTCTCCTTTCTTCTGCTTTCGCAGAGAACTGCAGTTCTAGGTGTCCTGCCAAAACACAAATACGTGTGTTCTGAACTGCTGCTGGCGCCAACACCCTCTGGGTTTCCCATTCCGTGCTTTGACAGCATCCCTGTTATTTTTCATTACTATGCTCCCTTTAGAGCTTTAGATGCTTTAGAGCCAAACCTCAGGTAACCAATATCTTACAGCCTTTACATCCTACTGCACCCATGGGACTTTCCTCTGGCATTACCTCCTATTCACATGCCTCCTTCATTATTTTGTGATGTGCCAAAGCACATGCAGGACTGCATGTGAAATTCCTGCCAGTTCTGTCTCTTTTTTTTTTTTTTTTTTTAATGGAGCTTTAATTATGTACTTAAAGGCTGTTATGCAACTCTGTCTTGTGGACCTACTAAACCTGCTAATCCCTACCCAAATAAAAACACCACAGAAGTGGCTTTTTACGTCCTCATCTCACACAGCTTCACCTTGTGGTTTAATTATAATAACCACACACAAATGTTTTTAAAAAAAACAAACCAAAAAACCTAAGGAGCTGTCAAATCATTTCATGTTCTAGCAAGTAGTGACAACTGCACCGAAATAAATATTAAAAGAAAAAAAACAAGAGAATGCCAAAATACTTCAGTCATGTTGCTACAGGCAGTCTTTCTGTCTTCCCAGGGTTACTAATTTGTCTTCTCTTCTGTTGGCTTCTGTGAATTTCCAGATGGAGTACTCACAGGACATTCTACTTTCTCATCTCCTAGATGCAGTAAAAAATACAGTGGTTTGCTTCATATGTATGTATCTATATATGTGTTTTATATATATATATATACACTCACAGATACATATATGTATGTATCTATGTATGTCTTCATGTGTCTACTTGAACATATATGTGTATGTATCTGTATATAAATATATATATATATATATGTATGACCAGTAGAGTTCAGAAAATACTGCACACAAACCTCTTCAGAGACATCACTGTCTGCTAGTATAGTTGTACTCAAGTGGCTTTAGTTTATCTCCCAGGTCAAAAGGTGGACACAGCTCTTGTCACATAACCAGGATGCAGGGCTTTTTTCATGTGCTTACACCAAAACAGAATGCTCAATAGCTAATAAATATCCTGATTATGTTTTTATGTGCAGGTTACAGCTTGACTGAGTTTCCAAAGTGCCCACACCTAAGCAGAGCTGTCACGAGGTCTTTTTGACATCACCTTTGGCTGCTCCCTCCTGGAGCTAACAAGTATCTGGTAACTTTTTGCCAGCTTTTACGATCTCTCTTCTATTTGGTATATTAAAATCGTTGTGAGGTAATTGATTCTAGTTTAGATAAAACTGATAAAAACACATGTTGACAACACACCCTGTGCTTAACTGACTTGGGGCCCTGCCGGACCAGTCACTGCATGAACTCTCAGGCAAGTCCATTCCCCTTCCAGAGCAAATGCCAAGCGGCTGCCTGTCCCTGAGAAGGTGCAGACAGGTATGGTTTGTCCATCTTTAAACTTCTGTACTGAAACAGATCTTCGATGCAGATCAATTTCCATGGCAAATCCATTTGCAATGGATTTACTTCTCAGGATGCAGCAGCAATATATGGCTTTTCAGAGGAACACCTTTGCAGTTAAATAGGTAGCCAGAGGCACCTTGCTTGGATATTTTGGTTAACTGTTAAGAAATATTTACTCCTTTTCATCCTTCGTACAGGAAGCTAGGCTGCTGGTTTCTGGTACCATGCCAGGACAAAGTCCATTAATAAGCATGGAAAAAAGTAAATTAAAACGTTCATAAAGCAAACAGAGCAGGATGGAGTAAACAGCATGTTTTGGTTTGCATTTTTTACTTTTAACTAAAACAAAAATATGTTAGAAAAAAAAATTGAAACTATTTTAATCCTGCTATATATAATGGAGAGATAGCTGCCAGTATTTACTGCATAGCATGATGAGGCAAATAATGCTGCAAAGGCCTGTGTCTGGGTCAGGGTCTCTGCTAATCTTGGGAGAGACTCCACACAGGAGACCTAGTAGGCTTGCTTCTGCTCATAGTATCAAAAGAGTGTGAAAGAACTATGAGCCAAGAGAGTGATATATCCTTGATTGTTAAGTCCCTTTTAATGGCTCTGAAGGAACACAGAAACAACCTCTCCCTTCTACTTCACCTGCTACTTCAAGCTTTCCTGGTGAAGTTTGCTATTGCTTCAAGTAATTACTAAACTAGGTGTGAGCAAACTTGCTTTTGCTAAACCTGAAACAAAAGCCCTGACACAAGGCTGTCAGTGCATGCTTCTAAAGAAGTAGAAGCACAGTATTTTGCATATCCCTTAAATCTGTTCCTGGTCCAGGATTTCTGCAAGACCAGGCAGATCAGCATAAACAGCTGAGATTTTCTAGTGTTGGCATCGGCAGCAACTCTGGAGGAAGGGACAAGGCTGTGCTCGGCACCGACAGAGGGCAGGCACCAGCCCGGTGTGGGAAAAGCATCTCTCCTGAAATGCCTTGGGACTCACAGACTTGGATGCTGCCTGGACCCAGCCTTTCTGTACATTGCTGGTACAAAGGGATTGCTGCTAAGTAAGATGTAGCACAACTTGAACTGCATCTACCCTATGCTAAATATCATTGTGCAGTTTTCAGACATGCAGGCAAAATGGAAAAGCATTACAGAGAACATTCCTGACAGGCTCTAGCCTTGGCTCTGTTTGGATGTTAGCCTATCTAAATGCCTGTTCTCTTCTTGAGGACCTATCAATGAATTTCATCACTGCCTGTACAATACTGCCCTAGCTGACAGTTTTGGCAACTCCTTCATGTCTTTTTAAGTCTTTCTGCCTGGACAGGGCACTGAAGACCGGGAGCAGCTCTCTCTCCTGGGATGTAGAGGTAGAGCTGCTATGACTTCTGCTACTCTGTTGGTTGGTGAGGCAAGGTTTCCAATGGAGCAGGAGTATAGAATGTCAAAGCTTCAAATTTAACACTGACAAAGCTCAAGTAAATGACTGAATGGAAAAAAGTGCTGTCTAGAGAAGCAGAAAGGTGTCTTGCTGGCAGAGATGCTAAAAAAAAAAATTTTAAAAATCAGGAAGTGTGTTTCTTCAATCTGCAGATTTTGGGATGACTTGCTGGATACTGATCAAGAAAAAGGAAGTATCATCAGCACAGGAAATTGTGTGGCTTTACATATGCTCTCTGAAAACTCTTCCAAACATAGTGCTGCAGGTGGCACAGACGAGCTACAGATGGGGTAGCAGGGCCGTGGGCGAGTGTTCCTGCTGTCTGTTCATGCAGCTCAAGGAGCAGCCTCCAGAGGAGAGGGTGCTTGGTAGGGAGAAGGTAAATCTGAGGCACTCCAATAGCAGCTTCGCTGTTTTGGAATGTGATGCCTCGATGTGAACTCTGTCCTTCTCCCATCTTAGTTTCCCCTTTTTTTCTTGTGGGCTTTGATGTCCAGCGAGATGGTTATCAAGTGTAACCATGAACAAATGCCACATTCGAGCAAGTCACTTCTATATTGCATCTGTGGTTACAAAGTGATCAAGGACTAGGTATATTTAGATGTTGCCCATACCTAAGAGTGAACCAATGTATTTGAGCAGCATGGCTCTTTTCTATGTACATGTACAAAACCTGGCAAACCATAGATCTTACTAATTTGCCTCACTTTATAAGAAATGCGGAAATGCTGATACTGGCTTCGATGGACGTATACATGTAATATCTCAGCCTACTCTTACAAGCAGATTTTGGGACATAAGAGACAGGAGGGACACTGAATTATGACCTGATTTTGATTAAATAATCCGCTTTGTGTTCCTTCCCCCTCCCGAATGTTTGTGGCAGTGGCGCGGTGGCCACCAGGATGACCGACGGCCGGCAGGAATGGCAGGATCGCGCGTGGGAGCTGAGCTCCCGCCCCCACGCACCGCTCGGTTGTTCTGCGAGTTTATGCTGGTCTGCATCCCTAGGGAAAAAAAACTCCAAGACACAGGACTCACCCACGGCTGGCCCGCCTCAGCTCAACAGCAAACACGAGTGTCCCGAAAGGAAAAGCCAGGGGGATGGGGGAGCGGTGGGGACGGGACGTCCCGTCCTGTCCCGTCCCGCCGGGGAAGGCGGGAGGGAGGGACACGGGGAGGAGGGGTTTGGCCGCCGCCGTCCCGGCATAAGAGGCGGGGAACCCTCGGGCGGCTCGGACGGAGTGCTCCGGTGCCGTGCCGTGCCGTGCCGTGCCGTGCCGTGCCGTGCCGTGCCGTGCCGTGCCGTGCCGTGCCGGAGGGATGGAGGAGCTCTACAGCAAGGCGGAGACCCTCGCCCTTCGGAGGAAGCACATCGGGTAGGGGCGGTGGCGGCGCCGGAGTGGGGCAGAGGGAGAGGAGGAGGAGGAAGGTCTGTCTCTGGTGACAGCGCTCGTCCGGACCCTGGCGGGGAGGGGACATGGACACACACAGGACCTGTCATTCCTCTGGCTTGGCAGGTCTCAGAGTCACCCGGAATTCCCTACACTGCACATCAAACGTATCATTCACTTTTCCATCAGATCGAAGTAAGCAGCCGGAATGTGGTACCCAGGTGTATGTCTAAAATGAGGCTGCTCAGAGTTGGGTTTTTTTTGTGCATGCACCTGCACAACAGCCGTGTCTGTTGGATGAACCTGTTGCCTTTCCTTAAGCTGAGTTTAACTGAGGGGCATGCGGGAGGGCTGCCAGAGGTTGTAACCTGAGCGATAGTCCTGGTTGCGCACGTATCTGATCCCTCCGTATGGCAGCGTTAGTTCCTACAGGATGTGCGGCTTTAATCATTTCTTCAGTAGATGTTGCCAAGTGAAAACTAAGTCCAGGTTGTAAAAACAGATCTATTTTGCTGATCGCATCTTAAATGTGTAGCGTATAGAGAAAGCTTACCAAAGATTCATAAGTCTCAAAAGATTCCCTAAAGTCATGTCCTCACAAAGAGAGAAAATCAACCACTTTTCAGAGGCTGACTCAATATTAGGGAGTCCTGCCTATGCAAGGATTGTAGAATTGAGCAGTGCTGGGCGAACAAAGAAAAACTTTCACAGAATGAACTGACAGAGAAAAAAACTCTAGTCAAGAAATGGCCAATGATGATGGACATTTCTTTCAAAGTATAGCAGAGAAATAGCTGAAGATGACAGAAAATATCTATGCAACAGGGCTAGAAGCTGTGACAAAGAAAGCAAACTACTTCACTATCCAGGAGTCACATTTACAAGTGACTTTACAAGTTCATAACCTCAGTATACTCAGCAATAATTCTCAGACTTACCTGAAAACTACTGAGTTTATCCAAGGTCATATAAACACTGCTAAATGTTCAGAACACTTTCCTTCTGCTCAGTAATATCATTCAACATTATTATTCAACATAATTACATAGCTGGCACATTCTCCAAAGAAGGAGGGGTGCGGTGAAGAAAGGAAAAAAGAGTGTTTAAAGAGTACTTTGGTTAATTTCATAAGGTGCTTCAGTTTTGCTGGAAGTCGGTGTGATTTAGATGCTTATAAAATGCTGCTTTGAAAGATTTTATCCAAAGCAAACAGGGTGAGGGTTTTAGGACCTGCTCAGCACCTCTGAAAAGAAAGCCTGCAAGGCATTAATGTTTTGTTCTTGACTGTGACCTCTATATGCTACAGTCATCTGTTGTGTAATGATTTTTTGGCTATAGTATAAAACAGTGCTTAACAGCTTACTTTAGTCCCAGAGAGTTATTTGGCCATAGATGTCTTTAAGGCATGTAAACAAACAGAGCTACAGCCTAGGAACGTGGCAGGACATATAAGGACCTGGAACGATGTACAGACACTGTTCTCCTGTGAAATCAATTGCAGGCAGAGTCAAGCTTTGAAAACACCCTTATTAAAGACCAGCTTCTGTTCCCACTCTGCTGGGGGAAGTGCATGGGTTTTCACTGTGGGCAAGATCATCCTGCTTGATCACCACCTGAATGACTCACAAGCTTTTTTTGCAGAAGGAGGCAATTGTCTCCAGAGCTGCAAAAAATCAACCCCCTCGACACTCAAGGGAGGGGAGAGAAAATGAGAAATTAAAATGGTGTTATGTTTATTATGTTTTAGGCCTTCTTGCAAAGTTTTCTATGCCAAGGACCCTCTGAAGATAGTCCGTGCTCAGGGCCAATATATGTTCGATGAGAAAGGAGAAAAATATTTAGACTGCATCAACAACGTTGCACATGGTAAGCAGTTTGGCTTGTGAGACTGCTTCCATTCCTTAATTTCCAATATGGATCAGGATACGTTTCTGCCAAGTGATGATGTTCACAGTGCTTCTCTGAACGACCTTTTGTGGTTCAGTAATTGACTGCTTGCTACTAATAACTAATTATTTTCTTCTTTAGTGGGCCACAGCCATCCATATGTGATAAAGGCTGCAACAAAACAGATGGAACTGCTCAATACAAACTCCCGCTTCCTGCATGACAAACTTGTTCAGTATGCACAGCGTCTCACAGCCACCCTTCCTGAGAAACTCTCTGTTTGCTATTTTGTTAACTCTGGGTAGGTCTGAATTGTATTTTTTTTATATGACTGTTTTTTTATTACTATTTTTTTCCTGTTTGGGACAGACACTCATGACAGCTTGGTCTAAATCTTATTAAGTCAGACTTAGTAACATGCAACAAAAATATATCCAGCACTGATCAAAACTTACTTCCTATTTGCAGCCATCATATTTAGAGTGATGGCTGAAAGCAAGAGAGCGAAAACATAAAACTGGCTTGCTGAATGCTATGCAAAAAAAAAGTGGGGGGGGAAAAGCAAGAGGAAATTAATTCTGCAAATTGGTGAATGATATGTACAGACCGATGAATGCCATCTGTAGTTTGACATATAACCTTGGAAACAAACTAATTAGTTAGGCAGTTAAGTAGTCTGTGATCACTTACATGTCCAAAACAGACAACCTGCAGAGACCTATGAGCAGAGGGGTTATGACAGATCAGGCTGGAAGCTTGAGTCTTCTTCCAGAGTGCAGGTTTGTGATGGTGCAAGCACTGGGGGGAACAGAGTTGTGAAGTGAGGGAGATGGGGCATTGCTTTTTGAGGGTTGGTGGCTACATTGTGTTCTCAGCTGCAAATTGGCCTCCTTTGTACCAAGGGGAGGTCAATATCTACAGGCAAACTGGGGGAGGGAAATAAAGCGTTCTTTTTGTTTGCTGTTTATACAAAGGGCTGTTTTATCTTTGCCCCCTTACATGGCACTTATAGTCTCAACCTTAACATTGTAATCTGTAGAGTAACAGAGTCTGCTGTGTTGATTTATTATATCCGTGAGTCCCATGCCTTGTCTTCTGTGGGAATACCATTTAATTGGAAGCACTTCTTCACTGTTTTGCTGCTGTATTTCTTATTATGCAGGTCTGAAGCAAATGATCTTGCTTTACGACTGGCTCGGCAGTACCGCGGGCACCAAGATGTGATCACCCTGGAAAAGTAAGTACACAGAGTAGCTTATGTGAATGCAGCCAGCAATTCCTGCCATTACTTCAGAATCAGCTTTGCAGAAACCCCCTGCTGTTTGTACTCCACCGCCTGCTGAAAGAAAAGCTTTGTTGCTTTTGTATTAGAACAGATCAGGAAATCCCTTTTTCACATTTGGATAAACACAAGTTTTGAAGATCTTTGAAAAATAAGCTTGTTGGTGACCCCAGAAGGTCAGTCACCTGTTAGAGGGCATTTCCCACAGACTCCCAGAGCAATTCAGGCCAGAGATTTAAATGTTGATTTCAAAAGCAGTGAGTGGCCTGGCTACTGGGCTGCTCTGGAAAAGGGCTTTCTGTTCATCACACATTTCTTGACATGTTTCATTTTTGCACAAATAAATATTCAGTGGTCAAGAAGAAAGATCCTGTAGTTCCACAGCAGTGCTGCAATGATGCTCAACTCTCCTTCAGTGAACACAAGTTTGCACACAAAACCAAGTGGCTGCAAAATCAGGAGGCAGTGAGAGGGCTGCCAGCCACAGGGTAGGTGGCTGACCACATCCTATCCTAGATGCAGCTGTAGGTGTGGTTACGTTGCTGTAATGCTGGATTTTCTTCTCAGGTTGTGATTAGAAAGTCCAGCCAGAGCATATGCAAGGGCACATGTCTCTCTGAACAGCACAAAGCTTGTTTGACTCAGCTGTATTCAGATCCCTGTTAGCAACACTCTAACCTATGTGTGTTCCACAAAGAAATCATGACATGTCTTTGGTTTGAGGTTTGCTTCACTTCAAGTTTACAGCTGAATGAAAGTGGTTTTTTTTCCCTGAATTAAGAGGCTGCATGCTTTAGGCTCAAAAGGCTCTGGTTCCTCATTTCTAAATCAGTTGGCCTCAAAAGTAACCAGCTTTAGCATACTCTGCAGTATAAAACATTTCTATCCAAACAGTATCCTTTTCCTGACAGTGGCTTCTGCCAAACCCTCTCGCCTGCAGTGCCTTCAGGGCCGATAGTGGTGGGCTGCTGCTGCATAAGGTCTCCACTTCTCCATGCAATGCACACTCCTGAGAGTTTCCACAGTGGTGTTGGGATCTAGCTTACAAAGCTTGGGCTGGCCAGGGTGGCGCCCATGGGCTGGAAATGAAGGTGCTAGACCCACCCTTCAGCTCTAGGTAAGGCTGCTAGGGCAGCCACCTTGAAGTCAGTGCAGTCCAGACATCATCTTGGTCTGTCCCCGTGTCAGCACTTGATTTTATCCTGTTTCCAGTCTTGCTAGTGGACTAAGTCAACAGCAATTTCGTATTGTCTTTAAAAAACTTAGTAAATTGAAACAAGATCCCTTCACAAACGATGCTACTGTGTTGCAGATACAGTTGCTATTCTGGAGTATGTATAGGCACAGTTGTAAATTTGGCTCTTCTGTACATTTGGTGAAAAGTGACTTGGATATTTAACACTCACACAGTGCTTATCATGGCCATGTTACATCTCTGATTGACATCAGTCCCTATAAATTTAATCAGCTGGGAAAGGACAGCAAGAAGGAGTATGTGCATGTGGTAAGTATGGCTTTTGG